TGACACCCTCCCTGCCCTTTGCAGAGCGTGCTAGACCAGTGCCTCCCCGCCTGCTTGCGCCGCCTCCGGCCCAAGCGGACCTCCAAGAAGCGTTTCAAGCAGCTGGAACGAGAGCTGGCCGAGCAGCCCTGGCCACTGCTGCCCGCCGGCCCCCTGAGGTAGTGCAGGCCTACGGGCACCCCAGACACTGGAACTCCCTGCCTCTGAGCCACCAACTGGACCCCTCTCCAGCGACACCACCGCCACCACCTCCCACATCCCCAAGGTTGGCGATTGTCTACACTCCTCCCCCGAGGCCACCCCCACCGTGGGGAAGCGTTGACTGCTGTCCCCCACCTCGGACCATCCCGAGTAGGAATGGCAGCCCCCAACTCCTCTCAGCGCTGCTGTCAGTGTAGCAAATAAAGTGACGATATTTTCCTGGCTCTGCCGTGCCTGTCTCGTACCTGGCACCATAGACCCTCCCACCTGTGCAGGAGGAAATGCACGTACCCCCGGGTGCCCATCTGGCAGCCCCTGCATGTGTCTGCCCCTGGAACCCCCCTGGGGGGTTGGTTTTTCAGCCTGACAAGCCCCTGGAACCCCCTGGTTTTTCAGGCTCCATTGGCCAACTCCCCTCTCTGGGCCTCTGGCACTCATCTCACAGTAATAATGTTTCCTGTGTCCAGCATGTGCCTGGATATTCCGTTTAGCTTTTTTTTTCTGGTCTTGAGATGGAGTCTTGCTGTGTCACCCAGGCTGGAGTACAGTGGCATGATCTCTGCTCACTGCAACCTCCGCCTCCTAGGTTCAAGCGATTCTCCTGCCTCAGCCTCCCAAGTAGCTGGGATTACAGGTGTGTGCCACCACGCCTGGCTAAATTTTGTATTTTTAGTAGAGACGGTTTCCTCATGTTGACCAGGCTGGTCTCGAACTCCTGACCTCAGGTGATCTGCCCATCTTGGCCTCCCAAAGTGCTGGGATTACAGGCGTGAGCCACTGCGCTTGGCCCCGTTTAGCATTTTACACACGTTGTCATGTCATCCTTCCAACAAGTGGGGTACTATTCCCATTTTACAGATGAGGAAACCAGGGCTTAGAGTTTGCACAAGTAGTCAGAGTGGGGATGTTCCTAACCCTCCTACCCTCCTTTAGAGGACAAGGAGATGTGGGCTTGCCTGGGAGGCATTTGCTAGGGCACAGTTCCCTCTCTCCCACCTTTCCCCCTCCCCGTCCCACCCCAACATCCTGGGACATGTTTGTGGGCAGTTCCTCCCTCAGATGAAATCCAGGCTCAGAGCCCACATCTCCCAGCCAGAACCACGTGCATCATCCCTGAGGGAAGGGTGGGTGCCTCTGAGCTCATCTCACCAGCGGGCCCCTGGCCAAGCCCCTCTGCTCTAGAGAGGCAGCTTGGCCGTCTGGCTCATCTGGGCAGGGGAGAACAGGAAAGACTGGCTGTTTCCTGCCTTCCAAAAGCCCTGGCCAACCTCATTCCTGGAACCCCTGGTGCTATCCCCAGGCCTGCCAGAGTAGGGGCTGAGAAAACGTTGAATCATGCTGGGGAGAAGGGATGTGGGTGTGAGGATGTAACTCCTGCCAGGAGGCACATCATGGTGGACCTCTGCTCCGGGCACAGCAACGGTTCAGGGTGGCAGATGCTGTTTCAGAGGAAGCCACAGAGAGGCCTGGGTTCAAATACCTCCTCTACCCTTAGCTGATTATTCATGAATCTATTGGACAGGTGTGTGCCAGGCACCAGGACTAACTCAACAAACTGAATAAAACGAGACAAAAACATGGTCTCACCCTGCAAGCAGTTCACCATCCAGCATGAAAGCCTGGCAGGGAAGGAGCACATGTCCAAGGACATAGTGGGAGCACAGCAACCACAGCCCCATCCCCTCCCCTGCCCAAAGAAACAGCCAGGGGAATGGGTAGAAGCAGCAGAAAGGACCTGGGAGCCAGGACACGAGTTGGCAGCTTTAGCCCCTCAGTCTCCCAGTTTTTCTTTCTTTCTTTCTTTCTTTTTAGACAAGGTCTTGCTCTGTTGCCCAGGCTGGAGTGCAGTGGTGCAATCATGGCTCACTGCAGCCTCCACCTCCCCAGGCTCAGGTGATCCTCCTACCTCAACCTCCTGAGTAGCGGGGACTATAGGCAGGCGCCACCACACCCAGCTAATTTTTGTATTTTTTGTAGAGATGGGGTTTTGCCATGCTGTCCAGGCTGGTCTCAAACCCCTGGGCTCAAGCGGTCCGCCCGCCTCGGTCTCCTAAACTGCTGAGATTACAGGTGTGCGTCACTACGCCCAGCCTCCTTCTTTTTTTCGAGGGTAAGGGACAGCATTTCTACTGAGCGATTTCCTCTCTTTTGCCAGTGGGATTGCTCCTGGCAGCAGTGGGGTCTAAGGGCAGGCAGACGGCTGGGCTGGCCTGAGGGCCCACCTCTCTCCAGGTCACAAAAGTCTCTGCGGCATTGCAATAGACACTGGGGGACAGGGCATGGTCATTCTTCAACAAAGCAATCCTGGGGAATGAAGGAGGCGCAGGACATATTGAGTCCCTTCCTGAGACTCAGAGTCTAAGGGAAGTGGGGGAATGACTAGGGGTGAAGAGATCACACGGCAAGGGTCTCAGTCAGGGACCATCCTCATCTCCTCCCAGCCCGCAGCCCCTACATCTCCCAGCCCGCAAAACCCCCTGCTCCTGGGCAGGACTAGGCTGCCCCAGAGGCAGAGGATCTGCATTCCCAGCCAGTCTCTCTGGGAAGAGTTTAGAGTACAGTTCACTCATTCATTCCACAAATGTTTGCTGAACTGCTGCTTGGAGCCAGGCTCTGAGCCTAATCAGCAAAACTGAAGATAAGCAAAAACAGGCCTCAGTCCCGGCCTTCACGGGGCAAGATGACAGTCGCATCGGGAAGAGGGACAGGGCTCAGATGGTCACAGATAGGCCAACAAGAGAGCTGCAAGCAGTAAAGCTAGAAAGCACAAAAAAAGGAAAAAGGGAAGGCCCCTCTGAGGAAGGGAGGGTTTGATCTGTGACCCCACGGAGGAGACCTCAGCCAGAGCTCGGGAGGAAGAAACGCCCCAGTCTGGGAAGGAGAGGGATTTGGGAGAAAGCCCCCAAAGGCCGGTGGCTAGAGGAGGAAGAGGAGGCAGAGCCAGGCTGCCATAAAGGGCAGGGGTCCTGGAGGCCACAGGGGAGTTGAGCCCCCAACCTGAGTGAAAGGCGTTCAGTAGAAGCGGCCATGATCTGCAGGGGTGAGGGAGGCAGGACCCACGTGGGAGAGGCCGGAGTGGAGGCTATTGCAGAGCCCAGGCAAATGATGGTGGTGTCAACTAAAGAAGAAATCAGCCTTTTGACCAGGCCCAGTGGCTCACGCCTGTAATTCCAGCACTTCGGGAGGCCGAAGTGGGTGGATCAACTGAGGTCAGGAGTACAAGACAAGCCTGGACAACATGGTGAAGCCTCATCTCTATTAGAAATACAAAAAAAAAAAAAAAAAAAAAAAAGGCACGGTGGTGGGTGCCTGTAGTCCCAGCTACTCCGGAGGCTGAGGCATGAGACTCACTCAAACCTGGGAGGCAGAGGTTGCAGTGAGTCGAGGACGCGCCACTGCACTCCAGCCTGAGAGGCAGCAAGACCCTGTCTCAAAAAAATAAAATAAAATAAAATTCCACCTTTTGGCCAGGCACAGTGGCTCATGACTGTAACCCCAGCACTTTGGGAACCCAAGGCAGGTGGATCAGCTAAGGTCAGGAACCTGGCCAACATGGTGAAACCCTGTCTCTACTTAAAAAAAAAAAAAATGCAAAAGTAGCCTGGCATGGTGGCATGCGCCTGTAATCCCAGCTACTTGGGAGGCTGAGGTGGGAGAATCCCTTCAACCTGGGAAGTGGCGGTTACAGTGAGCCAAGGTCACGCCACTGCACTCCAGCCTGGGCAACAGAGTGAAACTCCATTTAAAAAAAAAAAAAAAAGAAAATCAGCCGCTGAACAAATTAAAGTTACTTTTATTGAGTCTTACTGAGGACTGCACCCTGGGAGAGCGTTTCAGAGAGTCTCTGTCAGACTGCTCCAAAGCAGCATTTCAGCCCACACTTTAGATACAGAGGTAGGTGGTTCTGCATGTACTCAGAAGTTATGGTCAGGCACGGTGGCTCACATCTGTAATCCCAGCACTTTTGGAGGCTGAGGCGGGTGGATTGCTTGAGCTCAGGAGTTCGAGACCAGACTGGGCAACATGGCAAAAGCCCTTCTCTACAAAAAAAAAAAAAAAAAAAAAAAAATTAGCCGAGCATGGTGGCTCTTGCCTGTAGTCCCAGCTACTTAGGAGGCTGAGGTGGAAGGATCACTTGAGCCCAAGAGGTGAGCTGTGATGGTGCCACTGCACTCCAGCCTGGATGATAGAGCGAGACCCGGTTTCATTAAAAAAAAAAAAAAAGAAGGCCGGGCGCGGTGGCTCAAGCCTGTAATCCCAGCACTTTGGGAGGCCGAGATGGGCGGATCACGAGGTCAGGAGATCGAGAGACGATCCCGGCTAACACAGTGAAACCCCGTCTCTACTAAAAAATGCAAAAAAATAGCCGGGCGAGGTGGCGGGCGCCTGTAGTCCCAGCTACTCGGGAGGCTGAGGCAGGAGAATGGCGTAAACCCGGGAGGCGGAGCTTGCAGTGAGCTGAGATCCGGCCACTGCACTCCAGCCTGGGTGACAGAGCAAGACTCCGTCTCAAAAAAAAAAAAAAGAAGAAAAAAGTTACATCAAATGTCTTCAGAAGCTACACTAGAGCAAATCTCACCAAAGTTTGGGTTCCAGGATGTACCTAGTTATATAGATTATAGAGGCATAATCATCGGTCCTGTCAGGTGCTATCTTACGTACAGGAAAAGGCACAGCCAGGATCATTGAACTTACCTTTCCTAACAATGCAGTGATTCAAGCAAGAGGCGTGGGAGCCTGTGTTCTGCCCTGCCTGCCACCTTCAAGGCATCCTTCCGTCACGCTGCCGCTGGCCACTGAGTCAGGGCTTTGTCAGCTTCTGACAAGCAGAAAGAACAAATGTGGTTTCTTGGGATTGCAACTTGGTCTCACAGTGGCTTAGGCCAGGGAGGGAGCAGTGGACAGAGTCACAAAAGAAATTTTTAGTAGCATTCACAGGTGGGTACTGGATTAGATGCAGGGCTAAGGGTAGGGGAGGAAGCCTGGGTAATGGAAGGCTGGGGGGCCAATGGAGTACTGGGAACCCTGGAAGGCCAGGTCTTGAAGGCCAGGTCTTGGGGAGAGCTAGGAGGTTGTGAATTTGGACTTGGATGCTTGTTGAAGTTGATGCACCTTGGGGACATTTGTGGGACACACAGATAGGGTCAGGGCTGAAAAAAGTGCTGGTTATGACCTGGGTCAGGGAATCTTGCCTGTAATCCCAGCAACCCAGGAGGATGAGACAGGAGGAACTCTTGAGGCCAAAATTTCGAGGCCAGAAGTTCGAGACGAGCATGGGCAACACAGCAAGACCTTGTCTCTAGAAAAGGAAAGAAAGAACGGCTGGTTGTGGAAGCCAGCCATGGCCCAGAGCTCAGCAGTGTAGGAGGAGATGGTGCGGGCCTGGGAAAGGCAGCAGGCTCAGCTGGAGAGGCAGAAGGAAAACCAAGGCAGGAGGGTGTCCTGTAAGCTGGGAGAAGGCAGAGTGCGAGCGAGGCTTACTTTCTGGCTGAGGGGCCTATGGTGAGTCACTTTGGGAAGCTTGGTTTTCTCCTCTGTGAAATGGGCTACACACCCACCCTTGCTCACCTCACCCACCTCACCCCCCTCACCCCGTCGACGTCGAGTGAGGAGCAGCTGTGAGAAGGAGGAAGCTTTGCACGGACGTGAGGACGGCTCCGGGCGCCTCTCCCCCGGGGACACCCCCGAGGAGATGGAACCCCGAGGGCACGGCGTGGCGGTCTGTGCGGGCCGCTCGCGTTAGGACCCAGAGGCTCTGGGGCTGGAGGGCGGGCGCCAGCCCCGTCGGGGGCCCGGAGGGGGACTCGGAGCGGGCCAAGGGGCGGCTCCGGCGGGCGGACTCGGAGCGGGCGGCGGAGTGACCCGGACAGGTAGGCGCGGGCCTGGCGCTTGGGGGCCCCGGGGGGCGGTCAGGGGCGTCGGCGGGTCCCGCGGCGCGGGGACGGGGGTGCCAGGCTCTCCGGGTCCCCGATCCTGGGGCGACCGCGGAGGTCCTGAACCCAGCGCCTTCAGAGCGGACGCCAGGGGGGCACCTGGAAAGTTTGGGGTTGCTCTGCAGAGAAAACGTGAATTGGGAAGGGCGGGGAGCCCGAGTTTGGGGGGAGCCAGAGGTGGGGGCGTCGGGGGATGGGACATCTTTTGTTCTCCCAGGGAGGTTGGAATGTGGCGGGTGGGGTGGGGGGCCCCGGTGGGAATGGCCGAGACAGAGACGCAGAGAGACAAAGAGAGATCAGAGACGGGAGCGCGAGGGCGCGCGGAAGCTGACTGTTCCCAGCTGTGCGGCGCTGCAGCATCTGGGTTCCCCCCGCCGGGACCCCTCCCCGCTAGCTTGGCTCTGGAGCGGGCAGAGCCCTCCGTCTGAGGTCTGAGCCAGCGTCGGGGCCCCCTGTCCCCCTCCTCCCAGGACGCAGGGGAGTCGGGGTTGGGGGAGGCCGCAGCTGTGGAAGAGGCCAGAGGTGGGGGTGGGGCAGCCTCCCGGGCAGGTCCTGGCCTCCCGCACGCCCCAAAACCCCTTGGTCTAGAAGTGCTTGGAGATGTGGTCCCCTGGGAGGAGCCCATGAACTCCACACTGACTTCCCTCTTTCCTGTCTACCCGCTAGCCCGTGGGCCTCCCTCCCCTAGTAAGCCTGGGTTTGGGGGCCAGTCCTAGGGAAGAAGACTCCACGCAGGGGACCAACAGGCATCCCCCAACACCTTGCAGCCCCTCATGCCCCAATTCAGCGCCTTCTGCTGAGCAGCGGGGGCTCCGACCGGCCTGACCGATGGGGAGAGGGACAGCGATGGGGAGAGGGACGACGATGGGGAGAGGGGCGACGGGCGACGATGGGAAGAGGGGCGACGGTGGGGAGAGGGGCGACGAAGGCTCTGGGGTCTTTTCATCCTCCTTCCATGAGGAGGTCAAGGGTTTTCAGAATGGGGTGTGGGGAGTCAGCTATCCCTCACCTCTGGGGCAGCTTGGTCCTGAGCCTCGTCTCCCCGCTCCCAATCCACCTCAGTGAGGTGCCCAAAACGCATGAGAGGGCCGGGTGTCAGGGAGGCCTCAGGATTCAGAGGAAGGAGGGAAAGACCCCATGCTTTCTCCCCTTTCCCTCCCCTCCCCCTGGATTCCCAGTGGGGAAAATAGAGCAAAGTTGGGGTTTCCAGCTAGCTTTCTGGAAAGACTTCCTGGGATGCAGCCGGGAGGGGCCCTCCTGGAGAATGGACCCCACCCTCGCAGCCCTCCCTACAGAAGGCTGAGGGACCTGAGGTGGCCCTCCACGGAGCTGGGGCTGGACGTGGGGAACCGGAGGCTTCCCCAAGTCCCACCGAGTGGCCAGGACTGGAGGCTGGGCTCTTGAATGTCAGGATCCTAATGAAAGCCATGACCCGGTGCCCTCTCCTTCCAAATGACACACATACTTGCCTACAATGTCAGGGGGTGCGGAAACCCCAGGCCAGGTGATGTCACGGCCCCTTCAGTGCTGCCGTTCTGGAATCCAGAGGAGTCCCCTCAGACTTCACTCTAGTGTTTCCTGCTGCTGCAAATAGCCCAGGTCTCGTGAGCCTGTGATGAACACAGCCAGGTCTTTCCAGGCCTGGAGGCCTGGCAGGAGAGGAGTCTTCTGGGCGCTGGGAGCCCTGCCCGGCCTGGCCGCTGTGGGGGCCCGGCAGGCCCATGTGTATGTGGTTTTCTGCTGAGCAGGATGCTCAGGGCCCAGGGGCTAATTGGGAGCAGGTGGTGGGCTTGGCAGAAGCTGCCGAGTCCAGGCGGTGATGCCGGTTGGCCACGGCTGGGGTCCCAAGGATGGGCCTGGTTCAGCGATTCATGCAGTCAGTGCCTTGGACACCCGGGGAGGCACTGGGCCAGAGGGCTGAGCATGGGTGTGGGTGAGGACAGAATGGCCCGGGCTGGGAGCACGTTAGGAATGTCCCCTTAGTGAGCAGGGCAGGGTCCACCCTTCCCTGACTGTGTCTAGTACACACATGACACGGGGTGTGCTTGTCAGGATCAGCCCTGGAGCTGGGTTGGAGGCCTTGTTCCTTGTGACCTGAACACCTGGGCGGACCAGCAGGGACTGGGATGTCCCTCCACTCCAGCCCTCCCATGCCTGGCTTCTGGGTGCCACCTTCTCCAGGGTGAAATCAGGGGATCAAAGGTCAGCTCTGCTGTCCTGGGTGCAGCCCTGGGTAGACCTCCCACCGGTCTTTCCCCAGCTGTCCTCTCTGACACCACTCCGGCCTGCCTCTTCGTTGCCATGAGAGCTGCCTACCTCTTCCTGCTATTCCTGCCTGGTAAGTGGCTCCTGGGGCAGAGGGTAGCTCCCCTTATGTAGGGGTGGAGAGTAGGGTTAGTAGGGGGGATTAGCAGTGAGCCTTTGTCATGACTTATGGCCAGAACTCAGCTCCCCAGCTCCCAGGGCCTCCTGCCTGCTTGGACCACAGACTGGACCGGCCAACACTGGCAGCATCTGGAGGCAGCTCCCGGCCCTTCCCCCAGCCCTCCACAGCAGCAGGCAGGCAGGGCTCTGGAGGGCATGTCCCAGGCACAAGGCACAACGCCCCTCTGGGAGCCGATGTGCAGGTGGAGGTGCAGGGGCACCCAAGGCAGGGAGTCCGGACACTTGGGTTCTAGATCCATTCAGGGCCCTTCAGCTCTATACAGTCTCGACCTTGGGGGGGGTCCGTACTGGCCAAATGAGGAGAATCAATGAGGACCACAAAAGTCCTAGCAGGGCCAAGATTCATTCATTCAGCTGTGATGTGTTGAGTCCCTACAACGTGCCAAGTGCTGGGCTAGGCCCTGGGGATTCAGCGATGAACCAGGCAGACACATCGTTGCTCCTCATCATGCGGCCAGTCCAGGGAAGGAGGACAAACAGGAAACAAGCAGATGTGAGAAACGCCAGCATGTGCTGAGTGCTGGACGGAAATCAGCAGGAGGGCCGGTGGGCTGGGGGTGGGGCGGCCTCTCGTGAGGCTGAAATTCCAGGGAAGACCTGAAGCAGCTGAGCAGGCCTCACAGGCCCAGGGAGCATCAGGTGCAAAGGCTCTGAGGGAGGCAGGAGCATGTGGAGTCCCAGGAACAGCCAGGAGGCCAGCAACAGGAAGGGGCAGGATGAGGTCAGGGAGGTGACCACGACCAGGGTGGGGAAGCGTCTTTACCATCGAAGAAGAGTTTGGATCCTCTAGGAATCTGCTTGTAGGGTCCTAGGTTCTTACAGACCTGCCCTTGTGACCCCCGCCTCACCTCCCCAGAAGCGCCTCAGGCCCCCGTTGCCCCTCCCCGTGGGGTATCCCACATGCTTTGCCTCCCCACAGCAGGCTTGCTGGCTCAGGGCCAGTACGACCTGGACCCGCTGCCGCCGTTCCCTGACCACGTCCAGTACACCCACTATAGCGACCAGATCGGTAAGGGCCTTCCACCCCCAGCCCTGCCGGGTCACGGAGGCCTGGCTGCTCAGATGTGCATGGCTCAGCCAGGGACCGCACTGGACAGGCTGATGGGAACTCTGGGGGTTGGTCCCTGGCTCAGCGGGGACCTCGTTTGCCCCTGGGGCTAGGGGAGTAGCCTGACTCCCACCAATTCCACTTTCATCTTTGTTTGCAGACAACCCAGACTACTATGATTATCAAGGTAACGGCTGGGGGTAGGCGGGCAGCTGGGGTGGGGAGAGCCCCTGGGAGGGGTAGAGGGAGTAGACCCCCTTATCCTCCCCTGGCTGCAGAGGTGACTCCTCGGCCCTCCGAGGAACAGTTCCAGTTCCAGTCCCAGCAGCAAGTCCAACAGGAAGTCATCCCAGCCCCAACCCCAGGTAGGTGCCAGACCCTGCTCCCACCCCTGCCCCAGCTCCTGCCTCACCCCTCCCCACTCTGTCCACCCTGGGAGTGGGGGTCTGCCAGGGCTGGGAGAGGTGACTCCCCTTGCCCTGAAGATACCCCTCCCAGTGATGTCTGCCTACCTCTGTCTCGACACCAGAACCAGGAAATGCGGAGGCGGAGCCCACAGAGCCTGGGCCTCTTGGTAAGGGCTTTCTTGACAGCCAGAGAAATGGAGGCACGGCCTGAAGTTGGGGTGGAGTAGGGGGCGGTGCTGGTGGGCTGGAGGTCTTTGTCCCTTGCCCATGTGGGCTGTTGGCAGTAATGTGGGCAGTATGACTGCTGTAGGCTGGCATCCCCAGGCCCCCCTAGGCAGCTCCAGGAGGTCCCACCACTCCCCAGCGTGCCTGACTGGAGGCTAAATTGGCAGCCTAGGAAGGCCCCTGTCCTCACAGTTACTGGGAGGGGCAGGGAGTGTGCTGGGGACTTCCTGTCAGCCAGAGAGACTGGGTGGTGCCCATGTGGAGGCGAGGAAGGGCCAGGGAGCGCAGGCTGGCTGAGCGGTGCCCCTCCGGCTGCCCCAGCTGACAGCTTGAAAGAACAAGGTGTGTGTGTGCGAGAGAATCCGTGTGCTTACCCTCGTGTGGGTTGGTGTGTGTGTTCCTATGTGGGCTTCTGTGAGCGTGGGCAGATCTGCTTGGAAGTTGGTATGGGCTTTTGTGATGATGCATGGGTGGGTGGGAATTTCTGTTGAACTTAGGCTTCTATAGTAAGTGTGGTTGTGAGTTGATACATGAATATTACAGCCCTGGTAAGTCTGACAGTGCTGCACGTGTCTACGTGGGCATGGGTAGGTATGGGTGTCTGCACAGGGCCTGAGGGTACAGGGGGGACTAGGCCCTGCGAGCCAGCCTCAGGTGGGTGAGGCTGGGGGCTGCCCCCCAACTCTGGGCTCCTAGTCTGACCCCACCTGTCACCAGACTGCCGTGAGGAACAGTACCCGTGCACCCGCCTCTACTCCATACACAAGCCGTGCAAACAGTGTATCAACGAGGTCTGCTTCTACAGGTGAGCACAGGTGGGCAGCTGTCGGGAAGACTCCGGAGTTTGGGGGGCTAGAGGGCACACGGGACAGCTCTGGCCAGCCAAGGTGGGAGTTGGAGGAAAGATAGTGAGTCCTGAAGTTGAGCTCAGTTCTGTGGTTGAGCCTGGGCCAGGGACCTCCACTCCTGGACTCCAATGCCGGGTTCTGTCTGGGCTATCCCAGTGGGGTTGGGTGGAAGTGGGGCTGAGACCTCCCGTGCCCTGTCCCTGCAGCCTCCGCCGTGTGTACGTCGTTAACAAGGAGATCTGTGTCCGTACAGTGTGTGCCCACGAGGAGCTCCTCCGAGGTAGGAAGGCCTCCTCCCCAAGACCTCCCCTACCCCCAGGTCCACTTCATTATCTGGCTACCTAGTCACCCACCTGATGTTTATTCAACACGTATTATCCACCAGGCCCACTTCCAGGACACCCTGAGCTCCCCTCCCTGAGGGGAGGTGAGCTGTTTCATCCTCAAAACACTCCTATCACCAGAGTTGGGGGAGGGACAGCGGTTCTAATCTCCCAGCTCCACCCTGACCCCCCTCCTTCCTGCCCCTAATAGCTGACCTGTGTCGGGACAAGTTCTCCAAATGTGGCGTGATGGCCAGCAGCGGCCTGTGCCAATCCGTGGCGGCCTCCTGTGCCAGGAGCTGTGGGGGCTGCTAGGGTGGTGCTGGCATCCGGAGTTCTGGCCCTTCTGGGATCTGGGGCCCTCGGGCCCTGCCTGACCTGGTGCTTTTTCCCCCATCCCCATGTTCCTTTTATTCTGTAAAAAGTTAGTGGACTGCAGCCCTGGGGGTTGCAGGCTGCGGTGCCTCAGGCCACTCCTTCAGCCTGTGGCCACCTCTGGGGCATGATGGGGGCTCCCCACTGCCTAGTCTCTGCCCCTCAGGTTGGGGGGGCATCCCAGGCCTCTCTGTGGGACCTTGGCCCCTGACGGGCCTTCTCAGCCCCTTTTGAGGACAGACAGTCCCCCCTTCACAGTCCCCTGAGGTAGGCTACGTCCCCCCACCCCAGCTGGTCTGCTTGGATTTCCTACAGCCCCCCTGGGCATGGACCACCTTTATTTTATACAAAATTAAAAACAGTTTTTACAAAAGATCGAGTCACTTTTTCGGTGGAGAGCACAGAGGGGCCAGCCAAGTGCCCCCAACGCAGACTGTCCTGAGAGGCTCCCCACCCCTTGGAGTGAACGGTCTGCTCAGGTGCCCTGTGCTTCTGCAGTCCCAGCCCCACCTCCTCACCCACCGGCTCCAGTTCTGCCCTGCCCAGAACACTGCGTCATGACAGTGTACGTGCGCACGCGTGTTGCAGGAATTGCATGGGAGATGGAAGGCTTCAGGGACACAGCTTTCTCATGATCAGGGCTGCTTGGTGAGGACATGAGTTCCCATCACCAGAGGGACACAGTGAAGATGGGAGGCTGCCCATGGGGTTGGAGGGCATGGGATCAAGGCAGGCGGACTGACATCCAAGGCCTTTGAGAAGTTGGGGAGATGGGTGCCATTAAAAGAACAAAAACGGCGGGGTGCAGGGGCTTACACCTGTAATCCCAGCACTCAGGGAGGCCGAGGCGGGCCGATCACTTGAGGCCAGGAGTTCGAGACCAGCCTGGCCAACGTGGTGAAACCCTGTCTCTAGTAAAAATACAAAAAAAATCAGCCAGGCGTGGTGGCGTGCGCCTGTAAACCCAGCTGCTCAGGAGGCTGAGGCACAAGAATTGCTTCAACCTGGGAGGCGGAGGTTGCAGTGAGCCAAGATCGCGCCACTGCACTCCAGCCTGGGCAGAGCAAGACTGTCTCAAAGAAAAAAAGAGGGCAAAAACGAGCAAGCCATTATAATTATAACACCTCCCTCTGACCAGCACGTGGGGCCTGGGCTCTGCGTGAAGGCTCGAACACTCCTTAACTCTGAACAGGCATATGTGGTGGATGTAATTCATATCCCCCTCTTAGAGACAGGAAAACTAAGCCCAGAGACATGAAGTAACCCACCCAAGGGTCCCACCCACGGGTCCACAGCTGTCAGCGGCAGTGCTGTGGCCAAATCGGGCAGCTGGACTCCAGCAGATGAGGATGAGTGTTAATTTCTCCTTCAGACACTGATTGAGCACCTCCTATGTGAACTTCCCCAGTCGCCCTATGCGGTAGGTTCCCATTTTACAAATGAGCAAATTGAGGCTTTAAGAGGTTAAGCAGGCTGGGCGTGGTGGCTCATGCCTGTAATCCCAGCACTTTGGGAGGCCAAGGCAGGCGGATCACCTGAGGTCTAGAGTTTGAGACCATCCTGATCAACATGGTGAAACCCTGTCTCTACTAAAAAAAAAAAAAAGAAAAATACAAAAATTAGCTGGGCATGGTGGCGGGCACCTGTAATCCCAGCTACTCAGGAGGCTGTGGCAGGAGGATCACTTGAACCCGGGAGGCGGAGGTTGCAGTGAGCTGAGATCATGCCATTGCACTCCAGCCTGGGCGACAGCTTTGCTCAGGATCACCCAGCGGAGCCAGGCATGTTCACACCCAAACCTGCACTTGTTTGCCATGCTGCCTGGAAGGCCTGTCACTGTCCCGAGGGTGGGCTTGGATCTAAGGAGGGGCCAGAGAAAGGGGCAAGAAAGCACAGACTGGAAAGAGTCGAGCTGCCCAGGCTTGGCCCAGTCCCAGGCTTCAACAGCCCCATCTGTTCTATGCGCCTGGTGACTCAGGACCCCAGAGGCCTCCCCATCTGACATCCTGTGAGGCTGGCAAGTTCCCTTCCCAACACAGGCCTCTCTGCCTCTCCCTGCCGCCTCCCCAAGCACCCCTCCCTACAGGGCCCCATCCCTCTTGCCCCAGACCCCACCTGTCTCCCCCCGACCCCGTCTCCTCCAATCGTCTAGAAGAGGGACACATCTGTACAAACTTTTTAGAAAAGGAGGTCTTGTTACAAAAAACAGTTCTCAACAGTTAACATTGTAAAAAGGTATAAAAATACAGGGACTCTGAGCACTCTGAGGAATTTCCTGACACACACTCTCAACTAAGGCAGACAGATCCCTGGGAAGCCAGAGTCAGGGACTGGGCCTCTGACCCCTGCCCTGGGCCTGGCCCCTCTCCTCTTTCCCACGAACCCTTGCTCCAGGGCTGACCAGAGACGAGGGCTCTCCCCAACCCTGGCTACGGCTCAGCCCCTCAAGGAGGAACTTGTACTATCTACAGTGGCTCATCCTGGAAGAGGGAGGCTGGACTGAGGTGGGGCCCGCAGGCGATGCCGGGAAGCCTCGCCAGGCCTGGAGCTGGAGTACCCCTCCTCAGCACTGCCAGCGGAGCACCTCCTCATCCCACCCTAGCTTGAGGCCCCCAAGGGATTGGGCTCTGGGGGTGGGCTGTCCAAAAGGAGGGCCCTCCCCTGTCCCGGGCATAGGGCCTTTTTCCAGATGCCAGCAGGGGCTCATTTCTCTGGGGGGCCGGAGGGTGGGGAGAAGGGTGCTGAGCTCCTTCGAAGCTCCTGCTGCAACTGTCCCTTCAGTGTGGACACCTGGGGAAAAAAGGGAAGATAAGGCCAGTCAGGTCCTCAGCCTGGCTTCAGAGAAAGGAAGGCAGCTGGGAACCCAGAGGGACACAGTGCCACGGTTTCAGGAAAGGTCTGACCTGACTGAGAGCCAGGGGCTGTCCTGCCCTTCTCATTTTGTTCCTCTGGCGTCTTCTGACTGTCGGCACCTTTCAGGGCAACTCCACCCCCATTCTTTATCCCCATCATCACTTGGGTGGGCGTGGCTCTAGCCCAGACCCAAGGGGTGGACATGTGACCCAGTCTCCAGCTGACAAGGCTGGCTCAGGCATGGTCAGGAAGGGGTGTGTGATCTGAGCAGGCCAGTGAGGGACAGCCCTGGGACTTCTGCCCCTGCTGTCTTCAGGGATGAGATTGCTGGGACAACCTGAGGCTGGAGCTGCTCAGGACACCTGGCCACCCAGGGAGAAGGCTGCCCTGAGCATGGAGCCAGGGGGAGCAGAGCCATGGCAGGAAGGCCTTGGGCCCAGAAGCATCCCGTGGCCCCTGGTCTGGTCTTGGCTGATACCATCGCAGAGCCAACCCCACCCTTTTCGGTTATGGGAGCCATCAACTGCCTATACCCACGAGGTCTTGACTGGGTCTCTCCTCTTCCTCCAGCCCCACACAGGATCCTGGCCCAGCCTTCCGAGGGGGCCTGCACACCTGCTCCTCCAGCCCACGCACCCTCTGGCGGTGGGCCCGCTCCCGAGCCTCCAGCGTGCGCTCAGTCTGCACCTGGGCACTGCGCAGCCGCTCCACCTCCTGCTGCAGCTCCAGATGCTGCTGCTGCTGCGCATCTACCTCCAGCTGGGCTGGGCTGTGGCTCTGCTCCAGCACCACCACCTGCGCCTGCAAAGAGGGGCTGTGGTCAGGGTTCTGGCCCAGCGTGAGTGTGTGTGTGCATGTGTGACAGGTTGTCAGGTACCTCCCTGGGACGTGGCCAGTGCAGAGGGGGACGGCAGGAGAGATCCTTGTGTGTCTTCCATCCTGCTGGCCCTGACAGTCAGCCTGCAAGCCCAGGGTGAGTGCACCCAATGACGCCCACTCAGGTAGGTGCGTGCGCGCGCACACACACACTCACACACTCAGACGTCATACACACAGGCACAAAGGCAAGCATTTAAATCCCTACCTGGACTCACACAGGTGCATGTGTATGTGCAAAGGCCCAACTCCCACATACATGAAAACGTCTGTACACAAACACATATTCACAATACCTAGACACGCCACACCATGCACAAGATTCATGCTCCATACACAAGAATAATCACATGGGTTCTCACACTGCCGCAAGGCCACAACATACATGAACCCACAGGCTCACGTGCAAACAAGCCGTTAGTGTCTTTTCCGTACACCTTATGGAGAACCCCTCCCTCCATAGCCCGGCTGGGTCACTGGAAGGCTCAGGGCTCCTAGAGGAGGGGGTTGTGGGCCCTGGGCTGGCTGGGCCATCAGCAACACTGGGATTGCTGAGCACTCAGACTGGGGATGAAGTTGGCGTCCCGGACTGGGTGGGGTCAGACCTCCAGCTGCTGGATCTGCCTCTGCGCCTCTGCCAGCTCCAGCTCAGCTCCCGTGAGGGTGCGGTCCAGGCGGCCCTTCTCTGCGCTCAGCCGCACTGTGTCCTCATGGCTACGAAGCTTCTCCCGCTCCACCTAGGCAGGAGAGCCAGAGGAGATCAGGATGCCAGGAGGAGCTTACTGAGGGGGCTCGGGTTCCTGAACCCCAATGGAATGACCTAACCCCACCAGAGGCAGCACACCCTGGGGATGTGCAGTGGGATCCACCACAGCTAGGCCCCAGAGGAAGTGAGGGGAGAGCCCAGGGAGCAGCCTACCTTGTCCAGCGTCCTCCTGAGGGCTACACGGTCCTTCTCCAGCCGCAGGGCTGAGCGCTCCACCTCCCGCTTCTCGGCTTCCAGCTGAGCCAGGGCGCGCTGCAGGCTGCCCAGGCGCTCTTGCAGCAGCCGCCGCTCATCTTGCAGCTTCTGGACCATGTGCAGGGCTGCAGCCTCACCCTCCTGCCGCTGCCGCAGCACCTGCAACAGAAGCCAGGCAGTCCCTGAATCCCTCTGGGCCTGAGCATACTTATCTGAAGCTTGGGGATAATGAGGCTGGCCCACTCACAGAGCAGGCGACGGTGAGGCCCACATCAGAGAATTGTCACCTGAAGCCAAACCTTTCTCTCAGAGTCTCAGTTTCTCCATCTGTATAACAGAACTATGCTCTGAATGAACCATGTTTCCTTACTGGAGGTTGCACCAGGGTTTGGGATGAGGTTGAGATGGGTGGGAACGTCCCCACCCTATCCCAGGGCCTCACAGTCTTGGGGACAGAGGGGGCACACCCTGGCCCTCACCTCCCGTAGCTGTTGTAGCTGGCCCTCGGCCTCCACCTGCTGCAGCTCCAGGTCAGCCACCTCGCCTCGCAACGTCTGCACCTGCTCGCCCAGAGAGCTGCTTTGCTTCCGTGCCTCAGATAATGCCTGCCGGGCAGCATCCAGCCGTTCCTGGGGGACAGGGGCTGATGGTGCCAGGCTGGCCTGGGAGCCCTAAGGAGTCCTCTCTATTCTGTACCTCCGGATAGGTCCACAACCCACAAAACAGGCAGTCTTCTCACCTGGAGGGTGGGGTGCACACTAGACCCATCTACGGCCTATCCACTGACCTGCGTAAGGTAGGACCCACTCAGACCCCAACTCTCCCCAATAAACCCTGCACCTGGGTCCCCCGAAGTCTATACTAGTAGTCTTGTCTTCTTAAGGGACATACCCAGAGCCTCTTCTCATTGGCTGATGGTCTGTTGGGTCCACGCCCTCCCTTCAAGCCTGCTCTCATTGGCTCCAACTGACTGCCCCATTGGCTGGCTCTTTACCAGGGCCCCCCTCCAGGCCTGCTCTTACTGGCTGACTCTCTCACTGGACCCATCCCAGCCAGACCCTGGACCCGAGACCTGGAGCACTTGGCGGTCGTGTTCACAGGCGGTCAGAGCCTTCTGTAGATGCAGGTTCTTGTCCTGGGTGCTGTTGAGGCTGGCACTGCTCTGGGCTAGGGCCTCTGTCAGGCCCCGCACCTTGTCCCGCAGGGCCCCCTCGCTTTCCTCCACCTTGGCCAGGGCCCCGTTCAGCCGCTCCACGGTCAGCTGCAGGGTCCCTGCCTTCACCTCGCTGTCTGCCACCTGGCAGGAGGACAGCCAGAACAATCAGGGGGCTGTTCCCATCTGGCCTCTACACCTCTGCTCCTACTGTGACCTCTACCTGGCATGCCGAATCCACTCCCTTCCCACTTCTCTCTGGGCCTCCATCATTGAGACCCTCTGTTCCTAAGAGCTCCCGCTGGCTCAGCCTACTGCAACCTGGGCCCCACGTCACTGCTGGCTATTTACTCGTGCCCAGAGTGCCATCAACCTAGCTGTCTCAGACTCACTGGTCTCCTCCCTGTCCTCATTCCTCTCTCCTCTCTGCCATGGAAGAGAAAGGGTAACCACCACCACACTAAAATTTTCTATTTTTGACTTTGGTGGGTGTTCAGGCAAGGCTAGCCAAATTATTTAACATTCCAGTTAGAGCTGAGCTTCCTAGCAGTTAAGGCAAAAAGGGAAATGAGTGAAACCTACATCTCTAACTTATCCCAGATGACTCCTATGCATGCAGATTCTGTCATCAAATAGCCCTGAATTCTAATTTCGGCTCTGCCTCTTACTAGCTGTGGGATCTTGGACAATGACATCACCTCTCAGCCTCTATTTGTCCATCTGTGAAATGGGGATGTTGGTAATACTTGCCTCACAGGGTTGTTGGGGGATTGCATAGTGCCTATAAAGCTCTTGGCACAGGGCATGCAAATGTTGTGGCCGTGATTTGGAGAGGGGCCCACCTGTCTCTGCAGGGAGTCCACCCGATCCTGGAGGGCCTGGGCTTGGGCCTCACGATCACTCAGGCCCAGGCGGCTGCGCTGCAGCTCCCCCTCAAGTGAGCGCCGCTGCAGCTCCAGCTTGACGGTGCGGCTCTCGGAGGCGTCCAGGACCTCCTTCAGGCGCCGCTTGTCGCCCTCCAGCTTTGTCTCATTGGCCTTCATCTTGCTGATCTTCTCCTGCAGGTGGCACAGGGCTCAGGCCCAGACATCCAGTGCACCCCACAGCCCTCCCGCACACGCCCTGGGGCCTATAGGGGAAGAGTGGGGAGCAGCCTCGAAGGGTGACCTGTGTGACCTGGGGCCAGCCTGGGACCCTCTGGGGGCCTCGGTCTCCCATGTGTTCCCAGGATGAGTGGACATGAAGATCCCAGAGCCCACCTTTCCAGTTTTAGCCCAGGCCAATGGGCTGTGGAACCCAGGACTGCCCCTTCCCGCTGTCTGGCCCCATTTCATATCTGCACAGTGGGGATACTGGATTGGTCCCAGGGTACCACAACCTGGGTGCTCACAGAAGCCCTGAGGAAGGGGCTGTAGAAATGCAGATTCCGAGGCCCTTCTCCTGCCCCACTGACTCACGTGCAAACTGAGCTGAGCCCGACAGTTCTGAGGGGGCCCTGCTGTTCTAGGGTTTCAGGTTGTGATTCCCCCTCCCCTGCCCAGGGTCAGCCAGTGAAGAAGGCCTGGGGAGTGGGGATGGGACAGGAAGGCAGACTAGGGGTCCTCTAATCCCTGGTTCTATCCTAGAGACAGGGTGGATCAACAGGGGGTGTTATTAGAGCCTCCCCAGCCCCCATCCTGAGCCTGGCCCCTCTGCCACCCTGCCCACAGCCCCAGCCCTGCCCTGTCTGGGGCCCCCACTCTGGCTCCTGCCCAGCTTTGTTCCTGGCCTCCTCCCGCAGCCCCTGCGGCTGGGCCCACGGCCAGGGCTGAAGCCGCAGACACAACAATCCAGCTAAGCTCGGCCCCAGGCCAGAGGCAGGGGGTTGAGTGGGGGGCAGTAATAGAGGGACAGGCTGGGGAGGGCGGAGAGGAACTGTGGCTGCACTGTCAGCACCAGGGCCTGAGTTTCCTGCCCCAGACAGGCAGACACACACACTGGCACACGCAGCTGTCCCCCAAACACACACAAAAACCCCAGAACTACAGAGACATAAAACAGAGGCTCCCTGAGTACCACCTGTGATAAGAGCCTATGTGTATCACCCTGTGAGGTAATCACCGCTCCTCCTTTTACAGATGAGATGAGGAAAACAAAAACTAGGCAGAGACAGCTCAAAGCCCAAGTTCTCTTTCTTTCCTTTCTTCTCTCTCTCTTTTTTTTTTTTTTTTTTTGACACAGTCTTGCTCAGTCGCCCAGGCTGGAGTGCAGTGGCCCGATCTCGGCTCACTGCAAGCTCCGCCTCCCGGGTTCATGCCATTCTCCTGCCTCAGCCTCCTGAGTAGCTGGGACTACAGGCGCCCACTACCGCACCTGGCTAATTTTTTTGTATTTTTAGTAGAGACAGAGTTTCACCATATTGGCCAGGATGGTCTCGATCTCCTGGTGTCAGGTGATCCGCCCGTCTCAGCCTCCCAAAGTCCAAAGTGCTGGGATTACAGGCGTGCGTGAGCCACCACGCCAAGCCTTGCTCGCTTTCTTTTCTTCTTTTTTTTTTTTTTCTGAGACAGGGTCTCACTCTGCCTTGTTAGAGTGCAGTGGCATGATCACAGCTCACTGCAGCCTCGACTTCCTGGGCTCCAAGTGACCCTCCCACCTCAGCCTCCCAAGTAGCTGGGACTACAGGCCCACACCACCACGCCCAGCTACTTTTTGTATTTTTCATAGAGATGGGGTTTCACCATGTTGCCCAGGCTGGTCTCAAACTCCTGGGGTCACGGGATCCACCCACCTCGACCTCCCAAAGTGCTAGGATTACAGGCATGAGCTATTGCACCTTGACCAAGCTCTTTTTTCTACAGCCAGTGACCACAAGTGACATGAGAGGATGGAGTCTGAATGTGATTTCACAGACTCACAGGCTGGTCACCTCAGTGGGTTGCAGAGAGACTCAGGCAGACAGACGCAGGGAGACACACGTAAGAGTTAGACAACCACTCGGGTACACAGATTCCCTGTCGCCCCCGCTGGCCCTCAGCTCATGCCCACCTGGCTGGCCCGGAGCTCGCTCTCGGTGGCCTGCAGGCTCCTCTCCAGTGTGGCTATCTGGTCCAGCGTGGCCCGGCGCTCCCGCTCACTGCGCCGCACACTCTCCTCCTGCAGCGCCATCTCCGCCTGGACCCCGCTCAGCCGCCCATCCACACTGCGCCGGGCTGCAGCCACCACCCACCCCGTCAGGCATGGCCAAGCACAGCCCCGAGACCCAAACCAGGTCACAAAATGTCCAGCCTACACTCCACCCAGTGCAGGGCCAGCCTGTCTGCACGCTTCATAGTGTGCAGGTCTGCACACAGGTGAGGCTGTCCAAGGCGGGTCCTCTTGGAGACAGCCCCGAGTCAGGTCATGGGGGCCACAGCAGGGTCAGAGGCCAATCCCCCGGCTCCTGCCTCAACTGCCCAAAACGAGAGACCAGGGACCCCAAGGATCAGACTCACCTTCCTCACTCTCAGCCACCGCCTTCTGCAGCTGCCTGGCCCTCAAGGTTGCGTGGTCTCTCTCAGCCTCCATCTCAGCCAGCTGGTGACTCAGGGCACTGGTCTGGGTCCGAAGATCATCCTGCAGCCCCAACATGGGGGAACGAAGGAAGACCCCTGCTCTGACACCCTGCAACCCCTCCAGGGCCCTGCAGGTTCCCTATCCAGCCACGCATGCCCAGGCTTACCCGTTCTCTCTGGGCACTGCGCAGCTCCTGCAGAAATTCCTGGAGGGCCCCGCGCACGGTCTCCGGGTCCAGGTCTGGAGGAGCCGGGGAGGTGGCAGGTCCTGGAGATGGTGGCTGGGACCCAGGGCTGCATTCTAAGTTGCTGGGGCTGCTGAGCCCGTCCCCACTTCCTAGAAGAGAACACTTGCTCAGTGATGCAGGAGCCACGGGCCTCCCACGCATCTCACTCACTCCCAAATGCATCTCACTCACTGTCATCCCTGCCTTTCCCAACAGCCCTCAGAATCAAGCCCAACTTCTCTGCTATAGCTTAAGGGCCTTCTTGCCCATCCCAGCTAAAACCCTCTCACCCTTTACAAACTGGCCACCCTGCACCCCCCATGTTCTAGAACATTCTTTGTCCCAGCCCTAGGGCCTCTGTACATGCTGCTCCCCCTCTCCCCATGGTGTCTCTTTGCCTGGCCCGTCCTTTAGGGCCGCCCCCTCCCTCAGAGGCCTCTCTGGCCCCAGGCTGGATTACAGTGAGCTCATCCCATCCTTAGGGGTGTCTGATGTCTGCCACCTCACCCAGACCATGAGCACCATGAGGGCTGGGCCTCGTCTCTTCCATCCACCACTGTTCCCAGGGCCCAGTGCAAGGGTGACTGCTGCATAACCTCAACGTCTCTCCATACCGAGTGCCTACTGTGCTACGCACTTCATCTTCCCGACAACTTCCTGACAGGTAAGGAACAATTTACCCTCTTCCCAGGCAAGGCTGGTACACAGCAGTTAAGTGATTTGCTTGTTCTCTTGACTGGATGTGGTGGCTCACGCCTGTAATCCCAGCACTGCGGGGTCCGAGGCAGGAGGATCACTTGAGGTCAGGAGTTCAAGACCAGCCTGGCCAACATGGTAAAACCCCATCTCTACTGAAAATACAAAAATTGGCCAGGCGCGGTATCTCACGCCTGTAATCCCAGCACTCTGGGAGGCCAAGGCGGGCAGATCACCTGAGGTCAGAAGTTTGAGACCAACCTGGCCAACATAGTGAAATCCCATCTCTACTAAAAATACAAAAATTAGCTGGGCGTGGTGGCGGGCGCCTGTAATCCCAGCTACTCGAGAGGCTGAGGTTGGAGAATTGCTTAAACCTGGGAAGTGGAGCTTGCAGTGAGCCAAGATCGAACTGCTGCACTCCAGCCTGGGTGACAGAGCGAGACTCCGTCTGAAAAAAAAAAAAAAAAAAAAAAGAAACAAAAGACTGGGAGCGGTGGCTCACGCCTGTAATCCCAGAACTTTGGGAGGCCGAGGCGGGCAGATCATGAGGTCAGCAGTTCGAGACCAGCCTAGCCAACATTGTGAAACCCCATCTCTACTAAAAATACAAAAATTAGGTGTGGTAGTGGGAGCCTGTAATCCCAACTACTCAGGAGGCTGAGGCAGGAAAATTGGTTGAACTGGGACCTGGGAGGCAGAGGTTGCAGTGAGCCGAGACTGCACCATTGCACTCCAGCTGGGGCGACAGAGCAAGACTCCGTCAAAATAAGAAGAGGAGGGGAGAGGAGAGGAGGGGAGGGGAGGAGAAGGGAGGGGAGGGGAGGGGAGGGGAGGGGAGGGGAGGGGAGGGGAGGGAAGAGGAGGAAAAGAAAAAAGAGAGAGGAAGAGAGGGGAAGAGAGGGGAAGAGAAAAGAAGAGAGGAAAACAGAAGAGAAAAGAAGAAAACAGAAAAATTAGCTAAGCATGGTGGCCCCTTATAGTCCCAGCTACCTGGGAGGCTGAGGTATGGAGGCTGAGGCAAGAAAATAGCTTGAACCCCGGAGACAGAGCTTGCAGTGAGCTGAGACTGTGCCACTGCACTCCAGCCTGGGCGACAGAGCGAGACTACATCTCAAAAAAAAAAAAAAGGGAGGGGGGTGGAGCCGGGGGCGGTGGCTCACACCTGTAATCCCAACACTCTGGGAGGCCAAGGCAGGTGGATCACCTGAGGTCAGGAGTTCAAGACCAGCCTGGCCAACCTGGTGAAACCCCATCTCTACTAAAAACACAAAAAATTAACTAGGTGCAGTGGTGCACGCCTGTAGTCCCAGCTACTCAGGAGGCTGAGGCAGGAGAATTGCTTGAACCCAGCAGGCGGAGGTTGCAGTGAGCCGAGATCGCACCATTGCACTGAAGCATAGGCAACAGAGTGAGACTTGGGCTCAAAAAAAAAAAAAAAGTGATTTGGTTGTTCTCAATGCTGGGAAGTTTCAGGGCTGGGGTGGGAATCCAGGCAGCCCCACTCCCTGGCAGAAAATTGTGCACTCTGCTTGGAGTGATGGCTAGGGGAGGTGGAGGGGGTAGGGCGGGTGGAACAAGGGCACTACCTGGAGGCTGGCACTGGAACTGCAGGACACGGGTCCTGCCATGAGCATCCTGCCTAGGTGGCGGAGGGACACCGAAACTTCCCCGCAGCCACGAACTTGGTCACCACCCAAAAGGCCTTGCTCAGAGGTTCCCAAAGAAGCAGGCCTGCCCCTGAGGGACCAGCTCTAGAAGGCCCCATCATCATCTCGTGAGACTTATTCACTATCATGAGAATGGCATGGGGAAAAAAAAAAAAAAAAAGAAGATCCCATCGTCTCGGGGTAAAAGTCCTCGTAGAGGCCTACAATGTCTATTGGAGCAAACCCTTCGTCCCCAACCCTCATTCCCCTGCTTGATGCTCTGGGACTGATGGCCCCTGCTGTCCACAGGACAGGGGCACCTCCACTCAGGACCTCCCTCCCCCAGCTGCTCGCTCACGTTCTCCCCTTACCCATCACCTCCTCAGTGAGGCGCCTGCTGCCCCTGCATGAACTGCCCCAGCCCTTCCCTTGGTTTTGTCCTTTTTTTTTCGAGATGGAGTCTCGCTCTGTTGCCCAGGCTGGAGTGCAGTGGCGCGATCTCGACTCACTGCAACCTCCGCCTCCCGGGTTCATGGGATTCTCCTGCCTCAGCCTGCCGAGTAGCTGGGACTACAGGTGCCCGCCACCACGCACGGCTAATTTTTGTATTTTTAGTGGAGACAGGGTTTCACCGTGTTAGCCAGGATGGTCTTGATCTCCTGACCTTGTGATCTGCCCACCTCAGTCTCCCAAAGTGCTGGGATTACAGGTGTGAGCCACCGTGCCTGGTCTCCTAATTTTTTTGTTGTTGTGGCAAAACATATATAACACAAAGTGTCCCAGTTTCACCACTTTTTTATTTTGTGAGACAGGGTCTTGCTCTGTTGCCCAGGCTGGAGCACAGTGGCATTATCACAGCTCACTACAGCCTTGAATTGAAGGGCTCAAAAGATCCTCCCACCTCTGCCTCTCAAGTAGCTAGGACTACACGCATGCGCCACCATGCCTGGCTAACTTTTGTTGTTGTTTTTGTTTTATAGAGATGAGGCTTTCCCATGTTCCCCAGGCTGGTCTCAAACTCCCAGACTCAAGCGATCCACCTACATCAGCCCCCCAAAGTACTGGGATTAACAGGCATGAGCCACCACACCCAGCCCATTTTCACTTTTTTTTTTTTTTTTTTTTTTTTTTTGAGACAGAGTTTCACTCTTGTTGCCCAGGCTGGAATGCAATGGCACAATCTTGGCTCACTGTAACCTTCGCCTCCTGGGTTCGAGCGATTCTCCTGCCTCAGCCTTCTGAATAGCTGGGATTACAGGCATGTGCCACCATGCCCAGCTAATTTTGTAATTTTAGTAGAGATGGCTGCTCTCGAACTCCCGACCTCAGATGATCTGCCCACCTCGACCTCCCAAAGTGTTGGGATTACAGGCGTGAGCCACCATGACCAGCCTTTTTTTTTTTTTTTTTTTGAGACGGAGTTTTGCTCTTGTTGCCCAGTCTAGAGTGCAATGGCGCGATCTCGGCTCACCACAACCTCCGCCTCCTGGGTTCAAGAGATTCTCCTGCCTCAGCCTCCCGAGTACTGGGATTACAGGTGTCTGCCACCACACTCGACTAATTTTTTGTATTTTTAGTATAGACAAGGTTTCACCATGTTGGCTAGGCTGGTCTTGAACTCCTGGCCTTGAGTGATCCACCCGCCCTGGCCTCCCAAAGTGCTAGGATTACGAGCATGAGCCAACGTGCCAGGCCATTTTCACCATTTTTAAGTGTACAACTGAGTGGCATGAATTACATTCACACGTTGTGCAGCCATCACCATCATCTGTTCTCAGATCATCCTGACTGGAGGTCAGGAGTTTGAGAGCAGCCTGTCCAACATGGTGAAACCCCAACTCTACTAAAAAAAAAAATATATATATATATGCGCATATACACATACATATATATACACACACATATATACACACATACATATACATACATACATTTATATATCTAGTACTTGCACATATGTAATATGTAAGTACTATGCCATTTCATATCAAAGACTTGAGCATCCACCAATTTTGGTATCCAGTGGGGTCTTAGAGCCCATGCCCCTCAGATACCAAGGGATACTGCATATTACATACGTGCATCCTGCCATATACTCCCATACACTTTCAGTCATCTCTAGGTTACTTATGATACCAAATACAGCTAAGTGGAAATAGTTGTTATACTGTATTGTTTTTAGTTATTCTTTTTTTTTTGAGATGGAGTCTTGCTCTGTTGCCCAGGTTGGAGTGCAGTATCATGATCTCAGCTCACTGCAACCTCTGCCTCCCAGGTTCAAGTGATTCTCCTGCCTCAGCCTCCTGAGTAGCTGGGAGACTACAGGCACGCGCTGCCGCGCCTTGCTACTTTTTGTATTTTTAGTAGAGATAGGGTTTCACCATGTTGGCCAGGCTGGTCTTGAACTCCTGATCTTAGATCTGCCCTCCTCATCCTCCCAAAGTGCTGGGATTACGGGCGTGAGTTACTGCGCCCGGCACACTCTGGCAAACTAGGACAGCCCCAAACAAAAACTTTACTAAATAAAGCAGTAACCTCCAAATCCCCCACTTCCCTCAGCCCTTAGTAACCTCTAATCTGCTTTCTATCTCTACGAATTTGTTTATTCTAGATATTTCATATAAGTGGAATCATACTGTATTTGTCCTTTGGTGACATGGATTTCACTTGGTGTAATGTTGTCAAGGTTTATTTGTGTTGTGGCATGTATCAGAATGGCATTCCTTTTGAAGGCTGGATAATATTCCATTGTATGGCCATGCCACATTTGGTTTATGCATTCATCTATAGATGAACATTTGGGCTGTTTCCTTTGACTATTGTGAACAATGCTGCAATAAGCATTGGTGCTCAAATATCTGTTCATGTCTCTGTTTCCAGTTCTTTTGGGTATATAGCTAGGAGTGGAATTGCTGGGTCTACAGTAATTCTATATTTAGTGTTCTGAGGAGCTGCCAAACTATTTTCCATGGTGACTGCAGCATTTTACAATCCCACCAGCAATGTCCCTTGCCTGGTTTTTCCTTTGGAAGGATTTCCTGGAAGGGGTCAGGCCTGGTGGTATATACATCTGAGGGAGATATTGGGGTCACAGGTGTGGTGTGGAGCTGAGGAAGAGAGGCTGAAGAAAATGGGATGTTGCTGGAGAGAGGGCAGGGGTCAACGAAGAGGATGGACATTCAGAAAATCAAAAAAGGAGTCAAGGGCATTAAGAGCCCTCCATCCCCCATCCAGGAAAGGTGCAGTGGCTCATGCCTGTAATCCCAGCAGGAGGATCCCTTGAGTCCAGGAGTTCAAGACCAGCCTGGGCAATATGGCGAAACCCCATCTCTACTAATAACACAAAAATTAAGCAGACATTGTAGTGCACACCTGTAGTCTCAGCTACTTAGCAGGTTGTGGTGGGAGGATAACTTCAGCCCAGGAGGCAGAGGTTGCAGTGAGCCAAGATCACGCTACTGCACTTCAACTGGGGTGACAGAGTGAGATCCTGTCTCAAAAATTGAAAAAAAAGAACCACCCCACCTCCCCCAAAAAATAAGTGGCCTAGACCGGGTGCCATGGCTCATGCCTGTAATCCCAACACTGACAGGCCTAGACAGGAGGATCGCTTGAGGCCAGGAGTTCAAGACCAGCCTGGGCAACATAGTGAGACCCCCGTCTCCACAAAAATCACAAAAATCACAAAAATTAGCTGGGTGTGGTGGCACACCTGTAGTCCCAGCTACTCAGGAGGCTGAGGAGGGAGGACCACTTGAGCCCGGGAAACAGTGAGGCCTTGTCTAAAAAAAGCAGCGCCCTTGAGAAGCACAGATCAATGAAGGGAGGGACCTTGGTGAGGGGGCGGGGCTAAGAAGCGGGCCTCAGTGGAGGGGTGTGGTGGACTCTGAAAAAAAACCGGGTGATGTGGGGGCGGGGCCTCAATGCGGCCCGCCCACCTTCCCCTCTTCCCTGCAGCGCGACGCTGCACTTACCTCCTGCGGCTGCGTCCCGGGCAGGGGAGCCGGGCACCGGCCGCGGGGCTGGGCTGGGCGCGCGACCGAGGCCGAGGCCCCGGCGCAGAGCCGAGCGCAGGCCACCCAGCTGGGCCTCCGCCGCGCGCCGCTGCGCCTCCACGCGGGCCAGCTCGGCTTCCAGGCCTTGTGCCCGGCCCTCGGCTGCGCTCAGCCGCAGGCCCAGCTCTGCAGCCTCGGCCCGCGTCGCCTCCAGCTTCAGCTCTAGGCCGCGGGCGTGGTCCAGCTGCTGCTTTTCAGTGCCACGCGCCTCCTCCAGGGAGCCCAGCAGGCGTCGCTCGCGGGTCCGGAACTCGCCTTCTTGTTCCTGCAGCTTCCGCTGGGCTACCTGGAGCTGGAGTGATGCCAGGAGGTGGGGGTCGGCAAGGCCTCCCCCAACCCGATGCCCCACCCCTAAGGCCCAGACTGGAGCCCACCATCCCTGGCTGTGTGGTCAGCACAACCCTTTATCCTTTAGTGCTCGCCACTCAAGCAGGAGGTGCAAAAACATCCCCGTGGGAGGAAATACTATAATTTATTAATCTCTTTATTCTTTATACAAGCCTTGTAATGCCCATACTTTATTAGTAATAACAGCTAGCATTTGAATACATAGGGCTTATCAGTGCCAGACACTAAGTAACTTTCCAAAAAAATTAACTCTAATTACTACTCTATGAATTGATCTCACTTTACAGAAGATGAAACAAGCACAGAGATGCTAAGTAACTTGTCCAGAGCTGGGATTCAAAGCCAGGAATTCTAGCTCCAAAGGCTGTTTTTGTTGTTGTTGTTTTTGTGGGTTTTTTGTTTGTTTGTTTTTGGAGACAGAGTCTAGCTCTGTCACCCAGGCTGGAGTGCAGTGGCGCAATCTCAGCTCGCTGTAAACTGCCTCCTGGGGGGTTCAAGTGATCCTCCCACCTCAGCCTCCAAGTAGCTGGGATTACAGGTGAGCACCGCTATGCCCAGCTAATTTCTGTATTTTTAGTAGAGACGGGATTTCACCGTGTTAGCCAGACTGGTCTCGAAATCCTGGCCTCAAGTGATCCACCAGCTTCAGCCTCCCAAAGTGCTGGGATTACAGGTGTGAGCCACTGTGCCCAGCTGTTTTTGTTTCTGTTTTTTTTTAAACTTTTTTTTTTCTTTTTTTTTTTTTTTTTTGAGACGGAGTCTTGCTCTGTCACCCAGGCTAGAGTGCAGTGGCGGGATCTCGGCTCACTGCAAGCTCCGCCTCCCGGGTTCCCGCCATTCTCCTGCCTCAGCCTCCCGAGTAGCTGGGACTACAGGCGCCTGCCACCTCGCCCAGCTAGTTTTTTTTGTATTTTTTTTAGTAGAGACGGGGTTTCACCGTGTTAGCCAGGATGGTCTCGATCTCCTGACCTCGTGATCCGCCCGTCTCGGCCTCCCAAAGTGCTGGGATTACAGGCTTGAGCCACTGCACCCGGCCTTTTTAAACTTTTTTAATAGTTTGACAGCAGCTTATTAATCACATGTACTCACAGCCCTAGGGGGTGGGGGAAGGCAGGGAGGCACACCACACAGGGCTACACAGGGGCTGCAGGCTGGGAACACAGTGAACAGCCAGGAAGGTTAAGTGCCCACTGGTTCCAGAGGGAGGTGTGTCCAGAGGCTGTTCCCTTAACCACTAAGCTACATTGCCCCTCCTTGCCCATAATTTATCAATCAATCTGCACACAATGGGGGCATGCATTAAAAAATCATTTACCGATGGGATGCAGGGTCACACAGACACAAAGCCACTCCTGCCATTTAGAGAGTCAACCTCTCACAGTCACCAATTTCACTGGAAACCCCATCTACTGAGCAGCTGGGTGCCAGGACCTGTGCCAGGGCCCTTCATACATGCCCGGCTGTGCTAGTCCATCTCTTATGAGCACTCTGAGGCACAGAGATGAAGTGACTTGCTCTGGGCCATACAACAGATTCACAGTGATGAGACAGCCGGAAAAGGCAGAGCAGGAAGAGCGTGGGCTTTGGAGTCAGACAGACCTAGGTGGCTGTGTGACCTTGGGTAGATCCCTCGACCTCTCTGAGGGTTCTGTAAAATGGGGCTAATGGTAGGACGGGCGTGGTGGCTCACACCTGTAATCCCAGCACTTTGGGAGGCCGAGGCAGGTGGATCACCCGAGGACCAGAGTTTGAGATGAGCCTGACCAACATGGTGAAATCCTGTCTCTACTAAAAATACAAAAAAATTAGCTGGGCATAGTGGTGAGCACCTGTAATCCCAGCTACTCGGGAGGCTGAGGCAGGAGAATTGCTTGAACCCAGGAGGCAGAGGTTGCAGTGAGCCAAGATCGCGCCAGTGCACTCCAGCCTGGGCGACAGAGTGAGATTCCATTTCAAAAAAAAAAGTAAAGGCCGGGCGCCGTGGCTCACGCCTGTAATCCCAGCACTTTGGGAGGCCGAGGCGGGCGGATCACAAGGTCAGGAGATCGAGACCATGGTGAAACCCCGTCTCTACTAAAAATACAAAAAATTAGCCGGGCGCGGTTGTGGGCGCCTGTAGTCCCAGCTACTCGGGAGGCTGAGGCAGGAGAATGGCGTAAACCCAGGAGGTGGAGCTTGCAGTGAGCCGAGATCGCGCCACTGCACTCCAGCCTGGGCGACAGAGCGAGTCTCCGTCTCAAAAAACAAAAAACAAAAAAAAACAAAAAAACAAACAAACAAACAAACAAAAAAAGTAAAAATAAAAATGGGGCTAACGGTACCTACCCCATGGGGCTGCTGGGAGAGTCAAACAAGGTCGTATTTATAGGGCCTCTCCGTGCCCATTTTGTGGCGGCATACAGTAGACCTACCGTTCTTTGGGCTGTTCTTATTATAACTTGGGAAGGGTCTCAAGGAGTGGGGGAAGGAACGAGCCCTAGGGAGTGGCCTTTCAGGATGGTCTCAGCATTGGGGAGCCTACCTGCTTCCTGCTGGAGGGAGGAAAGATGCACCAGCCCACCCGCCTGCTCAGTTACCTCCTGCCGCATCACCTCCAGGCTGGCCTCGCCCTTCAGCAGCCTCTGCCGGAGGCCCAGGGTCTCCCGCCGGCTCTCCTTCTCTGCCCGCTCGCCCAGTGCCAGGCGGCCCTGCAGCTCCGCCAGCTCCCGGCCCAGTCTAGTGTTCTCACTGTCCAGCATCTTCATCTGTGAGAGAGCCGGAACGGCAGTGGGTTCAGCTCTGCCCCTGTGCCCTCCCAGTCCTGGCCCAAGGCCACTTGGGACCTACTGCTCTAGGGACACCTATATCAAATACCACCCATATCCACTGGGAGCCGGCCCCTAGATAACCACACTGAGCTCAGGCGATGCCAGGCACTTGGGCACCAGTGGCCTGTTTACCATTTAATCAGTGGGCCAAAACTACCTTTCATGAGGGCATTGGTATAGTAGAAGGAGGGCTCAGCCCTTAGCAGACCAGGAGTTCACAGGCAGGAACCATAGCTCCCTGGGTTATCTTTCATCTCTACAGTGGTGATGAACATGTTTGGAGTGCTCACCATGTGTCCAGTCCTGTTCTAAGCACTTAAGTTACTTCGTACAGTGCTATATGAGGGAGATAGAAACATCCCTATTTTAACAGATGAGAAAACTGAGCCTCAGAGTGTCAGAGTAACCTGCCCAAACTCACAGAGCCCACACACACCAGACTGGGATTCGATCTGAGACAACTGCAACGTTCTAAGCCCCCATTTCCCCACAGGAGCAGGTGGGGGTACTGCCTACCTACCCCATGTGCTACAGCAGGGATAACAGGATATGCCATAGCATGAAACACGCCCAGCAAAAGCTGGCATGCAAACGCCAGCTCCTTTCAGGGAGTCTTGTGGTTTCTCAGGAAGGGGCCTGGGTGAAGGGGGCTGTGGTATCTCTGGCTATTAGAGTATCAGAATATCTCTGGCTATCCGGTTGTGATATCTCCTTTTTGTAACTAAAAACAATTTTTTTTCTTTTTTTGAGACGGAGTCTCGCTCAGTCACCCAGGCTGGAGTGCAGTGGCGCGATCTCGGCTCACTAGAAGCTCCGCCTCCCGGGTTCATGCCATTCTCCTGCCTCAGTCTCCTGAGTAGCTGGGACTACAGGCGCCCGCCACCATGCCCGGCTAATTTTTTTGTATTTTTAGTAGAGACGGGGTTTCACCGTATTGGCCAGGATGGTCTTGATCTCCTGATGTTAGGTGATCCGCCTGTCTCGGCCTCCTAAAGTGCTGGGATTACAGGCGTGAGCCACCATGCCAGGCCACAAAGTTTTTAAAAAAAAATTTGGGGGGGCCAGGCGCGTGGCTCACGCCTGTAATCCCAGCAAAAATTTGTGGTCGGGTGCGGTGGCTCACGCCTGTAATCCCAGCACTTTGGGAGGCAGAGGACAGTGGATTGCTTGAGCCCAGGAGTTCGAGACCGGCCTGGCCAACACGGTGAAACCCCGTCTCTACTAAAAATACAAAAAACTTAGCCAGGCGTGGTGGCGGGCATCCATAATCCCAGCTACTCGGGAGACTGAGGCAGGAGAATTACTTGAACCTGGGAGGTGGAGGTTGCAGTGAGCCAAGATCACGCCATTGCACTCCAACTTGGGCAACAAGAGTTGAGACTCCATCTCAAAAGTAAATAAATAAATAAAATAAAAATAAAAATTTAAAAAACTTTTTAAGAGACAGGGTCTTGCTTTGTCGCCCAGGCTGGAGTGCAGTGATGTGATCACAGCTCACTGCAGCCTTGACTTCCTGGGCTCAAGGGATACTCCCACCTCAGCCTCCTGAGTAGCTGGGACTCCAGGAGCGTGCCACGACAACTAGCTATTTTAAAAATTTTTTGTAAGGACTGGTTCTCACTATGTTGCCTGGGTTGGTCTTGAACTCCTAGGCTCAAGCAATCCTCCCATCTTTGCCTCCTGAAGGATAAGATTAAAGGCATGAGCCACCACAGCTGGCTAATTTTTTGCATTTTTTAGTAGAGACAGGTTTTCACCATGTTGCCCAGGCTGGTCTTGAACTCCTGGGCTCAAGCAATCCACTGGCCTCTGCCTCCCAAAGTGCTGGCATTACAGGCATGAGCCACTGCACCTGGCCTGGTTGTGATATCTCTGGGTGAGGACAGCAGGTGCTTCTTCAATGCATGCTGCTCTTGATGAGTTTGGAGATCATCTAATTCACACGTCAGCAAACTACAGCCCACAGGCCAAATTCGGCCAGTCTCCTGTTTCTATAAGGGTCTGAGCTAAGGATTTTTTTTTTTTTTACATTTTTAAATCGTTGAAAATGGATCATTTCTTTTTTTTTTTTTTTTTTTTTTTTTTGAGACGGAGTCTCGCTCTGTTGCCCAGGCTGGAGTGCAGTGGCCGGATCTCAGCTCACTGCAAGCTCCGCCTCCCGGGTTTACGCCATTCTCCTGCCTCAGCCTCCCGAGTAGCTGGGACTACAGGCGCCCGCCACCTCGCCCGGCTAGTTTTTTGTATTTTTTAGTAGAGACAGGGTTTCACCGTGTTAGCCAATATGGTCTCGATCTCCTGACCTCGTGATCCGCCCGTCTCGGCCTCCCAAAGTGCTGGGATTACAGGCTTGAGCCACCGCGCCCGGCTGAAAATGGATCATTTCTAAAGAAAGAACGATATTTCTTGACACATGAAAATGACAGAAAATTCACATTCCAGCGTCCCTAACCAAAGTGTGACTGGAACCCACACCCCTCCGTTCATGCGCTGTTTGGGGCTGCTTTCTCACTACCCCGGCAGAGCCAAGTAGCTGCAACAGAGACTGTGTGGCCGGTAAAGCTGGAAATATTTACCATTTGGGCTCTTTACAAAAAACAATTTGCCAACCTCTGACCTAGTTCATGAAATCTGTACCTTTTGTTGTTCGCAGATTCCTCTGAGAACTGGACGAGGACACCAGCTCCTCTCCTTGGAGAAATGTGAGCCTGAGCGTGCACACAAATGCACGCAGACTTTTGCACAGATTCAGGGATTCAAGGACTGCTCAAAGCCCATCCATTCACACCAAGGTTAGGTAAGAGGACTTGTCATAGTTCAAGCCCCTGGTTTTACATAGGGGGACACGTGATTCCAGAAAGGGGGAGCTACTGGCCCTAGGACACACAGCAAGCCCTGGGGCAAAGGATGGCACAGGGAAAGTACCTGACGCCGGAGCTCCTGCAGCTCCCGCCGAGCTTCCAGCCGCGAGCGCTCCACCTCCTGCAGCCCAGTTCGCAGCTCCCCGGCCTCCTTGCCCACGGCTGTCCGTGCCTCCTCTAGGAGTGCCAGCTTCTGCTCCTTGTCCTCATTGGCAAGCTTCAGGCTGGAGAGGGCAGAGGTCAGGGGCTGCCCTGGGTCCTGGGAGTAGTCAGTGGCTCTACACAAAAGCTGCCTCCTCCAGTTTCTGGAGTGGGTCAGGCACTGCCCGCCTATGTGGCCTCTCCCAAGAGCTGAGCCCTCCAGGGCTGGGGCCCAGGCCCTCGGCTGGGAGGGGTAGACTAGTGACTCCAGGAGGGGACCTGGTTTCCAGGGTGATGAGGCGGGTGGGTCTGAGTCTGGACCCAACCCTACCCGCTGCCCCTCTGCCACTTTCCCCAATCAATAGGGAGGAAACCTTCCTAAAATGAGCCAGGTGCCAGGCTCTGCTTAGGAGACAGAGGGTCCGTATCTGGGCAATTTCCCCAGAACCTTAGGGCTGAAGTTAGATTTCAGGGATGGGATTCCATGAGAACTCAGGGCTGGTCCCCCTGTGACGCCCCACCTGATGCGCTCGCTTTCTGCCTTCTTCACAGCGGCTCGAAGCTCCTCGTTGGAGCGCCGCAGGGCCTCGCGCTCCTTGGCGCCCTCGCCCAGGCTGCGCCGCAGCTCGCCTGCCTCCTGGCGCTGCACCTCCCGGCCCTCCTGGCTCTCACGCAGCTTGCGCTGGGCCTCCAGCAGCTCCCGCCGCAGCCCATCACGGGCATCCTCCAGCAGACGCAGCTGGGTCCGAAGCTCTTCTGCCTGTGAGCACAGCAGGTGTCCCCAGGCCAGCGGTCAGGGACCACCCCTCAAGCTGGGTCTTGTACCCCAGGTCCCTGGCCCCGGGGAGCCTGCCCCATCCCTCTGCAGTGCTGAGACCGCAGGCTGTGAGTTATCATTTGAGCAAGGCGTGCTGCAATCAGTAATGTTTTCACCTGAAGTCACCATCAGTCAGGACTGTCCTGAGCACACCAAGAGGGCAGAGACCCCACTCACCCCTCCTTGAGACCAAATCCCACCTGTACACAACAGGCGCTTCACAATGCTTGCTAAATCCCACCTGTACACAACAGGCGCTTCACAATGCTTGCTAAATCCCACCTGTACACAACAGGTGCTTCACAATGCTTGCTGCCTCCTTTCTAAGTGCTATTCATTGGTCCTCACATGCAGGGAGGAATCTTATACTCTTCCGGGGCCCTGGGGAACTAGGCCCCCAGGCACACAGCGCCATTTAGGGTATGCTGCTCAGAAGAGGGGGCGGCTGCTCACCTCGCGAAGACAGGAGTCCCGCTGCTTGCCCAGGTCTTGGGCCTGCTCTTGCAGCCTCCTCACCTCCTGGGCGTGGGCTGCAACAGCCTCCTCCAGCTGGGCCCGTAGGTCCCGCAGCTCGGACGTCAGAGCGTTCACGGTGCTCTGGGACAGAGGGGCTCCTCAGACTTGGTCCTGCTGTGTCCCCAGGCCCTGGCTGCTCCCAACCCGCTTGGTGCACTGTCCACTTTCAGCTCTAAACACGGCCCCTCCCGCTGGCCTGCCAGACCCTCTGCCAACCCCTGGATGCATAGTGAGTGCTGCCCGTGTAGCCAGGCTCTCCCTCAGGCCCAAAGGATTCATCAGGGCAGGGCTGAGCCACCTCCCTCAGATGGGGGCTCCCAAAGGAAGGGCTAAACCTCCTCTCCCACAGCCTGGAAGCTTCTCCAGGACGGGGCCATGCCTCCCCGTGGTGGGGCCTCCTCAGCCAGGGATGTGCCTCTCTATGAGACGGCAGCCCAGCTGCCCAGCCCGCCCTACCCGGTCCTGCTCCTGCCGGCTCTGGGCATCTCGTTTCTGCCGCTCCATCTCCAGGGAGATGGTGGCCAGGCTGTGCCGTGTACCCATCAACTTCTCTGACAGCGCCGTCTTCTCAGACTCCTTCAGAGACAAGGCCTGGGCAGAGGCAGGGGACAAAGGGCTTGGGGGATGAGCTGGTCCTGGGGGCATGCTCAGGCTTCTTCCTGCCTGGGAAATGTGCCCACTGGGGGCTTAGAGGCCTGAGTGTGCCACCGCAGGTGGACCCAGGGCAGACGTGCAGCCCTGGAAAAGGGCGCAACGGCAGTCACAAGAATCCCGGACATGAATACCACTCATAGAGCTCACTGACCCGCCACAGTACCCTGACAGCAGAGTCTTTCATTCTACCCATTTTACAGATGAGGAAACTAGACTCAAGGAGGTAAAGCGACTCACCCAGGTACACAGCTAGTGAGGAGAGGAGATGGGCGCAGTCTGCCCTGTCTCCGTTACGTTATGGGAAAGTTAGGGACTTATTATTTGTGGGGACGGATCAGCTGATGCCTGTGGGCATCGTGGGGACTGCTCAGAAGGCAGCCCTGAGGATCCATGCCCGGCCTGGGTGGGACGAGGCATGGGAGAATACAGAACAGCTTTCCTGGTGTCACAGCTGTCACTGTCACTCAGTGAGTGCTCACTGTGTACCAGGCATGGAGCACAGCAAGGCCTCACGAACCCTCTTCTAATCCTCCCGTCCTGCAGGTGAGGAAACAGAGGACCCCAAGAGGGCAGTGGCCTGCCCCAGGGCTCTTAGCTGCCATGTGGCGGAGTGGGGTCCACCCCAGAACAGGAGCAGCTCAGAGAGCAGCAGAGGCCACGCCAGGGCTCACGAACCTGCTGCTTCTCGCTCTCAGCCAGGAGGAGGCCCTCGTCGCGCTCCTGCTGCAGGGTAGCAATCTCCTCACTCAGCTCTTCCTTCTCGGCCTCCAGCCGGGCCAGCAGCTCCTCCTGCTCACGCTGCAGCTGACTCTGCAGCTGGGCCCGCTCGGCCTCCAGCTCTCGCCATGCTGCCTCCTAGGGGGCCAGGACCGGACGCGTGTGACACACCAGGAGGGGCCCAGGCAGACCCCCCAAGACATCAGGGCAGCAAGAGCCATCTGGCCCCCATACCCTCAGCGACAGGGAGGGTGACCAGGTAACTACAAGGGGGTGACGGAGACACGCCAGGGCTTTCTGAAAGTGCCAAGGAGCAGCAGTGGGCTGGCCTGGTGGTCCCAACATGATCCCCTGAGGAGGGACAAGCAGCTGTCAGCCAGGTAGAGAGAAAAGACAAAGAACCCCAGGCCAAGAGCACAGTCCCTGGAAAGGCCTAGAGGATGCAGGGTACAGAGGGAAACAGGACACAGTGAGCCACAGTGCCAGAGCCCCAGGCAGTGGCCGGGCCAGGCCAGGCCATGTGGGCCACGGGGATTCTAAGGACAGTGAGGGGAGTGGGAGAGAGGACTCCAGCCAAGGTGACAAGGAGCAATCTGATTTTTAGCTTAGGGGATGTTCCAACAGCTGTGGAAGACGGACTGGGGCTGGGATGGAGGGGAGTTAGGATTGGCTATGACGAATGAATGGGGTCAGGGGTTGCCAGAGGAGCTGGAGAGAAGAACACAGACTAGGGGACATTAATGAGGCCAAGCCAGGCAATGCAAAGGGCAAGAAGAGCAAGGGGGAGGTCACAGGAGTTTAGATCCCTGGGGACTGGAAAGGCGGGCAAGCAGAGCCCACAGGCAAAGAGCAGCCCACCTGGGGAGCCCAGGGGCAGGTGCCTGCCTTTTTTTCTTTCTTTCTTTCTTTTTTTTTTTAAATGGAGTCTTGCTCTGTCGCCCAGGCTGGAGTGCAGTGGCGTGATCTCCGCTCACTGCAAGCTCAGCCTCCTGGGTTCACGCCATTCTCCTGCCTCAGCCTCCTGAGTAGCTGGGACTACAGGCACCCGCCACCATGCCTGGCTAATTTTTTTGTATTTTTAGTAGAGATGGGGTTTCACCGTATTAGCCAGGATGGTCTCGATTTCCTGACCTCGTGATCCACTCACCTCGGCCTCCCGAAATGCTGGGATTACAGGCTTGAGCCACTGCGCCCAGCCTCTTTTTTTTTTTTTTTTTTTTTTTTTTTTTTTTTTTGAGACAGAGCCTTGCTCTGTCACCCAGGCTGGAGTGCTGTGGCGTGATCTCGGCTCACTGCAATCTCTGCCTCCCAAGGTCAAGCAATTCTTCTACCTCAGCCTCCTGAGTAGCTGGGACTACAGGTGCAAGCCACCATGCCCAGATAATTTTTTGTAATTTTAGTAAAGATGGGGTTTCACCATGTTAGCCAGGATGGTCTCGATCTCCTGACCTTGTGATCCGCCCATCTCGGCCTCCCAAAGTGCTGGGATTACAGACATGAGTCAGCATGCCCGGCCAAGCTGCCCCTTCTTTAAGAGCTTCACCGTAGCTCATGCCTGTAATCCCAGCACTTTGGGAGACTGAGGCAGGTGGATCACGAGGTCAAAAGTTTGAGACCAGCCTGAGGAACATGGTGAAATCCCATCTCTACTAAAAATACAAAAATTAGCCAGGCGTGGTGATGCGTTCGTGTAATCCCAGCTAGTCAGGAAGCTGAGGCAGGAGAATCGCTTGAACCCAGAAGGTGGAGGTTGCAGTGAGCCGAGATTGCGCCACTGCACTCCAGTCTGTGCAACAGAGCGAGACTCCATCTCAAAAAAGAAAAGGAAAAAAAAGAGTTTTATCGCCACCTGCTGGAGAAGCATGATAACAACCACCCAAGGCCATGGGGCCTGCAGGGTGTGTGGCATCCCCTGGAGCCATGCAGTCATAGCCTGCACCTCTGTCGGAGGTAGCCCTGTCTAGGATTTGGTGGCCCAGGGCTCCTGTCCTGAGGGCCACTCTGGAGAGCATGCCAGTGCCAGCAATAATAACTTATGGAGCATTTGCTAAGTACCAGTCACTATGCTCAGCCCTCTATGCGGATGGTCTCAGTTCATCCTCAATACCTTCCACTATCCTGTCCCTATTTCTACAGGTGGAGAAATGAAGGCACAGACGCCTTGGGTAGCATCACCAGTAAGTGACCAAGATTACATTCAAACCCACGCAATGTAACCCCAGAGTCAGTGTTCTAGTAACTTCCCTGGCCCCTTGCCTTTCTATATACTCAGGTCTGAGCGGCCCTTCATATGCAAACAGTACTTAGCAAATGAAAGTGCTTTCCTGCTGTATGTTAGGTCAGCATTTCCCAAATGTGGTTGTGGACCCTCTGCATCAGGATTACCAGGGCTGGACCAGATTTGGGACCTGGGAATCTGCATGTCTAATAAGGACCACAACCTCCCCCACTGCCCGCACCCCAAGTCCTCCCAGCTGTCCCCAGGGCCCCCACAACAGAGAGGAAGTCCCATTTCACAGATGTAGAGACCAAGGCAGAGGAAGAACGACGATGAGACACTGGCTCTGAGGCCTGCCCACCCCTCCCCAGCTGCCTGAACCTTTTCGCGCTGGAGTCGCTGCAAGTCCTCCTCGTGGGCTGCCCGCTGCTCCCGCAGAGAGGCCTGGGCCTCCCGCTCAGCCTGTACCAGCTTCTGGGCCATCAGCTCCTTGTCTAGACTGGCTTTCTCCTGTATAGCTATTATTTGCTGCCGCAGGCCCGCCAACTCCCCTGCACAAGAGGAATGGGGGAAAGGGCAGGGTTGGGTTCAAATTTTTCCTTGGGCCAGCAGACTTAGGCCAGGTGAGCCACATGGGCAAAATCCCAGAGGCAGAGGGCCTGCCTGGCAGCTAGTTTGGGTCCTCTTGAAGAATTGGCTTGCCCTCTCTGGGCCTCAGTTTCCCTATCTGCTACATGGGCCCACTGGCCCTGACCCCTTTCCTGCCTACCTAGAATGGCATTAAAGGCATAAAATGACTGATAAGAAGGCCTCCCAAATGGGAAGGATGCCAAAGATATAACAACCCTAGGCCAGGCGCAGTGGCTCACACCTGTAATCGCAGCACTTTGGGAGGCTGGGGCAGGTGGATCACCTGAGGTCAGGAGTTCGAGACCAGCCTGGCCAACATGGCAAAACCCTGTCTCTACTAAAAATACAAAAATTAGACGGGTGTGGTGGTGGGCGTATGTTGTTACAGCTACTTGGGAGGTTGAGGCAGGAGAATCGCTTGAACCAGGGAGGCAGAAGTTGCAGTGAGTCGAGATTGCACCATTGCACTCCAGCCTGGGCGACAAGAGCGAGACTCTGTCTCAAAAAACAAACAGGCTGGGTCCGGTGGCTCATGCCTATAATCCCAGTAGTTTGGGAGGCCGAAGCAGGTGGATCACCTGAGGTCGACAGTTCGAGACCACCTTGACCAACATGGTGAAACCCTGTCTCTACTAAAAATACAAAATTAGCCAGGCGTGGTGGCACATGCCTGTAATCCCAGCTACTTGGGAGGCTGTGGCAGGAGAATTGCTTGAACCCGGGAGGCGTGGAGGTTGAGGTGAGCCGAGATCATGCCATTGCAATCCAGCCTGGGCGACAAGAGTGAAACTCTGTCTCAAAACAAACAAACAAACAAAAAACAACCCTATTACTGACTCAGCACTAACTATAGGTTAAGCACCCAGCTAAGTATTCTAGATATAACTTCATTTTGTCTTCATAACATGCCTAGGTAGTTTATCCTCATCCCCATTTAACAGATGATGAAACGGAGGCTCAGAGGAGATCAGCAGCGACTTCCCAAAGCCGCACAGCTACACATAAAGCATCTCCTTTAATGACTGACATAAACATGCCTGTCAAATGTTAACTATCAGTATTAATGGAAATGACTACAGGAAATGGAAATGGTATAGCCACTATCTAAAAACCATCTCCCGGGTTGGAAATCCACCAGCATTTCCCTTCCTGGTTCTGTCTGGCTTAGGTGTACATGGACAGAAAAATTAATTTCCATGACCCAAGTAGGTGCTTAGTTAATGTTAGGTGAGCAGAAAGAAGCCCTGAGTTCAGACACTGGATGGGAAACGGTGTAGGGAAGCGGGACTGGGATTTGGGGGCCAAGAGAGTCATCTGAAAACCACAGAGAACTCGACTTTCTAACAGGCCTGATGAGGGATGAACTGTAGTTACTGTTGACTCAGCCAGGCACCATGCCACGGCCTTACACGCTTTTCCCACGTCATCCTGGCAATAGGCTTACAAGGTGGCCACTGACACCTCTAATAATCAGATGAGGAATCTGCAGCCCAGAGAGGAAAAGGGCTTACTCAAGGAAAGGTCAGGTCTAAGTGGTGGCACAGGACTAGAACCCAGACCAGCCAGACTCCTACTCTAGTGCTCCCAACTTCTGTGAGACCCCAGACCCTGGGAGGTTGCAGTCTGGGCTGGAGCCTGGTGTTCCCCCCAAGTCCCCAGCCCCTCGTACCAGTAAGGGTCTCCTTGGCCAGCAGCAGGGCCTGCCCCTCGGCTTCCAGATGCTCCCGGCGGGCCTCAAGCTGGGCCAGCTGCCGCTGCACCTCAAACAGGCTGCCCTCCAGGGCTTCCTTCTCCAAGCTGCAGCACATACAGTCCCTGAGGCCCTGGGACTCAGCCTCCCTGGCCCCAGGAAACTGTGGATCTCAGGGAGTGGCCAGGCATGGGCCAAGTGCCAACCTACCTGCCTGGCCAGGTCCACACTCCCTGGGGAAGCCTGAGCCACAGCTAGGACGTGTTGGCAAGCCAGACTCCTTGGTAACTGCCCCTGGGGGCCCATGCCTGGGTGTGGCTGGTCATGGTATGGCCCCGGGAGGACCCCCCAAGGCATGTTGGGCAGAGCCCAAGGCCTTACCGCAGGCGCGTGGCCTCCTCTGACAGGGTCCTGCCTTCACGCTCCGCAGCCGCCAGCTGCACAGCCAGGCCAGCGCGCTCCTTGGCTAGCGCCTCCTTCTCCCGGGCCGCTCGCTCCAGCGCCTCCATCTGCCGCTGGGCCGCCCGCCGGGCCTGCTCCAGCTCCTGCTCCCGCCCGCTCAGCTGCCGGGAGAGCTGGCCCCCACCCAGAGACTGAGCAGCACTCCCAGCGCCCCCCAGCTTATTCGTCGTGCAGCACCCCAACTCTGGGCCTAACCCAGTCCTGGCAGAAGGCCTAGGTTCGAGGCCAGGGTATGCCCTCATGTGCTATATGTACTTGGGCAAGTCATGACTTTCTCTAGATCTGCAGTGCACGTCTGTACAAAAACGAGGGCCCGGCCGGGCACGGTGGCGCACGCCTATAATCTCAGCACTTTTGCTGGTGGATCACTTGAGGTCAGGAGTTCAAGACCAACCTGGCCAACGTGGTGAAACCCTGTCTCTACTAAAAATACAAAAATTAGCTGGGCATGGTGGTGCACGCCTGTAGTCCCCACTACTTGGGACGCTGAGGCAGGAGAACAGCTTAAACCCCAGAGGCGGAGGTTGCAGTGAGCCCAGATCATGTCACTGCACTCCAGCCTGGGCAACAGAGCAAGACTCTGTCTCAGAAAAAGAAAAAAAACAAAACCAAAAAAAACGAGGGCCCTCACTCAGCTTTGGGACTAACAAGTAACAGAACCCTTGTATTATGCTAAACTTGCAGAGAAGTTGAATATAGAAAACAGACACAAGTGCAGCTGCTCAGCAGGCCTCAAGGTGGAGACCTGCACCCTGCTCCTTGCACCCCCTGCCCCATCATCTAGAGGTCCCTCCCAGAAACCCAGGGGCTCCAGGATAGACACTGCATGAAGGTCATTGGATCCTTCAAATCCTAAGGACTCTTCCAGATGTGATGTTCCCAAAAGTCTAAGATTCCAATTCTAAAAGTCTTGACCTCTTATTAATCTGTATCATTATTATTATCATTATTATTATTTTGAGACGGAGTCTCACTCTGTTGCCCAGGTTGGAGTGCAGTGGCACCATCTCAGCTCACTGCAACCTCTGCCTCCCGGGTTCAAGCAATTCTCCTGCCTCAACCTCCCGAGCAACTGGGACAACAGGCGCCAGGTACCATGCCCAGCTGATTTTTTGTAGAGATAGGGTTTCACTGTGTTAGCCAGGATGGTCTTGATCTCCTAACCTTGTTATCCATCCGCCTCCACCTCCCAAAGTGCTGGGATTATAGGCGTGAGCCACTGCGCCCGGCTAGCCCCATGTTACAGATGGGGCAACTGAGGTATGGGGAGATTGGGCAGCTTGTCCAAGGTCCCCAGCTAGCAGAAGTGGGGCTGGATTTAACCCAGAAGCAGGCTCCAGAGCCTGTGACTTAACCCAGGACTGGATGCCAGGGGCTGGGAGCCCGGCCTGCCCCACATGCTGTCCACACCGCCCCCACACACGGCTTGGCCCACCTGCGCTAGCTGCTCCTGCAGCCGGCTGCGCTCATGGCGCAACGTGGGGAGTTGCTGCTCCAGCACCTCCTGGGCCTGCTCCGCCACGCGTAGGGAGCCCTCCAGGCCCTGCCGCGCCACCTCCTGCTCCAACCGCAGCTCCTCCAGCCGCTCCTGCTCTTCCCGCGCCACTGTGGCCTCCTGCTCTGCCTGCCGCTGCCGGCCCTGCAGGGCGGCCTTTTCTTCCTCCAGCTGTGGGCCGGGTACGAGTGGGGCCTCATGAGCAGGGCGCCCCTCCCGGGACCAGGATGCCTTCTCCACCCACCCACCACCCACAATAGCCCAGGGGAGGCTCCAAGGGAATAAGGGACAGTGCCCTTGGGTGTGTGGGACGCTGGGGAGGGGGAGATAAGGGCCCATGCAGCTTCTGTGCTTTGACGCCTAGAGAGGATAGACAGACAGAGGGAGACAGACAGAGAACCAGAGACAAAAAAGGAGGCAGCGGCCAAGACAGGTGCAGGGCTGGGCCCAGGGTGCCTCACTGAGTGGGGAGGACGGGTGGGCAAGGCAGGTGCGCCTGCAGGTGCACAGCGTACCTGGGCAACAAGGCGGTTCAGATCCAGCTTGTCCTGAGCAAGGCTCTCGTTGAGGGCGCTCAGCTTGGACAGGGAGTCCTGCAGGGAGGCCTCCTCTGCCCTCAGCTTGGTCATGGAGAGCTCGAGCTCCACGCGGCCAGCCTCAGCCTGCAGAGTCAGGCCCTCAGAGATGACGAAAGGCAGAAAGGTCGGGAGGAGGTGAGGAGAGACAAGAAGAGACCCAGAGAGACGGACCCTCGGAGACAGGGGAGGGGAGACAAGGAGGGGACATAGCGTGAGATGGAAAAAAAAAATCACCGCAGAAAGCCTGCTGCTTATGGAGCCATTTAAAAGCCACGCACCACAGAGCTGTGCAAAAATAGCTCAAGCTGCAGGGCAGGACCAGAGTTCAGAGGATCCCCTGAGTAGGATCTAGGGATAGCACTGCTCAGAGCCCAGGCTGCAGTGAACAAGGCCGGCCCCCCCGCCAAGGACTCTCTGGGCTGTAGCCCCAACTCTCAGGCCCCAGGAGCTGAGTCTCAGGTACTGGATGACCCTGAGCTATATAGGCACTGCCCCCAGGAGCATCTACAAGAGCAGGGATATGGCCATAAAGAGAGGTCAATCCACTTATACCTGGGACCAGAGGTCCAGAGGTCTGTGGCCTGCAACAAAGATCAGCCTGTATCCAGAAGGAAGGGGTCAGTCTGTGACCTGGCTCAGAGGTCTGCCTGACACTGGGACCAGTCCATGCCAGAGCAAGAAGTCTTTGGGCTGGGGGGCAGAGGTAGGTTTGTGGTTGTGCAGCAAACAGGGACCCACCTTGGTCAGCGCCTCGGCCACCTCGGCCTTCTCGGCCTGCAGCATGTCCCGCTGCAGCGTGGCGCGGCTCAGCGCCTCCCTCACCTCCACCAGCTCCTTGGCCAGGACTGAGCGCTTCCCTTCCAGCTGCTCTAGTTGTCTATGGCTGCGGGACAGAGGACGGGTGGGTGGCCCATGTCACTTTCCTGCCCTGAAACTCCTGTAGCCAGCGAGATGCTGGGCTGGGGACCAGGCCTGAGGCAGGAGTTTGGAGAGAAAAAGCCTGGCCCACAGGGCAACCAAGCCCACTACACTTAGCTGCATGACCCTGGGCCTCTGTTTTCACATCTGCAAAACGAGGTAACACTTGCCTCGTGACATTGTTTTTTTGAGACAGAGTCTTGCTCTGTCACCCAGGCTGGAGTACAGTGGCGCGATCTCGGCTCACTGCAACCTCTGCCTCCCGGGTTCAAGCAATTCTCCTGCCTCAGCCTCCTGAGTAGCTGGGATTATAGGTGCCCACCACCATGCCTGGCTAATTTTGTAGTTTTAGTACAGACGGGGTTTCCCCATGTTGGTCGGGCTGGTCTCGAACTCCTGACCTCAGGTGATTCCCCTGCCTCAGCCTCCCAAATTGCTGGGATTACTGGCATGAGCGACCACGCCTGGCCTGTTTTAAGGATACAGACTTCACATATGCTTAAAATGGTGCCTGACACATGTCCCCAAGGGCCTTCAGAAACAAGAATCACATGCACCACCACAGTCTACTAAACATCATCATCGATCACGTCCCAGAGAGGTAAGCAGCGCAGTGGGGAAGAGGTTAACTCTGAAGGCAGAATGCCCGGGTTCAAATCCTGGCTCTTCTGCTAATTAGCTGTGTGACCTGGGGCAAGGAACATGGCTTCTCTGTGCCTCAGTTTACCATCCACAAAATGGAGATAACAGCTTCGACGACACAGAGTTATCATAGAATTGAATGAGAACTGAATTGCTTAAAATGGTATCTGGCACTTAGTGAAATTAGTAAGGATATTATTATGATCATAACTAAATTTTAAAAATACTATTGTTAATATTACTACTGTTATTTTAATTATTGTTGTTATTATCATCCAAGTTCTACCTTTTAACTAGTTCTCTGATCCCAGGTAAGTGACGACACCTCCCTGAGCCTCAATTTCCTGAAATGGGACTGGTTAGAAAACCCAGCATCAGAGGGGTCCAGATGGTAGGAGGCCCAGGACCCAGTGGGTGCTCCCTAACTCCCCAGGGGCACTGTCAGGTGATCTGAGGCACATTTGAAGGGCCCTGACAGGGAGGCGAGACGCTGCTCACCTGCGCTCAAGCTCCCGGCGCACCCGCGCGCCATCCTGCACCGCGTCCTCCTGCTCTTCCTCCAGCCGGTCCCGCTGGCGCCGCAGCTCCTCCTGGGCAGCCTGCAGCTTCTCACGCTCCTGCCGCAGCTCCTCGGCCTGCTGCTGGGCCACCTGCAGGCTGTGGGCCAGGTTGCTCTTCTCCCTTCAGGACAAGGGGAGAGGAGGGGAGGGGATGCTGGGGCTGCTCTCCCCAGGGAAGGTGGCTGGCTGCTCCTCTAGCCATGAGCTACATCTTCCCATCTTCCAAGGCAACTGCCTCCAGGAAGCCTTCCCTGACCACCCTGCCCATGGCTGACTCATTTCACTCAAACCCTCCAGCAGAAGAACCTAGCTTTCCTTCTCCCCAGCCTGTCCACTTGGAGGCCCAGTGGAGTGAATGGAGGCACTGGGGTGACCTCCAAGCACCCCACCAGGTAGAAGAGGCCACGCTGGGCTCCTGGGACACACAGGCAATTGTGCCACCAGCTCTGCTAGGCCATGTGACCAGGAAATGCCCCCTATAAACACCCCATGCCTCTCAATTCTGGGAAGCCTGATAGAGCTGAGTCTGCAGATCCCACAGCTTCCTGCTACATAGGCACATGGTGGCCACAGCAGGGGCGGGAGGAGAAGGCAGCAACGGGGACCCCAAAGACTTGCTGTGAGCTGCCACTTTCCTCACTGGCAGTAGGTGCAAAAAAACTTCACGACATGATTTTTTTTTTTTTTTCCTGAGATGGAGTCTCACTCTGTCACCCAGGCTGGAGTGCAGTGGTGTGATCTCCCCTCATTGCAAGCTCTGCCTCCCAGGTTCACACCATTCTCCTGCCTCAGTCTCCTGAGTAGCTGGGACTACAAGCACCTGCCACCACACCCAGCTGATTTTTTGTATTTTTAGTAGAGATGGGGTTTCACCGTGTTAGCCAGGATGGTCTTGATCTCCTGACCTCGTGATCTGCCCACCTCGGCCTCCCAAAGTGCTGGGATTACAGGCATGAGCCACCGTGTCCAGCAATTTTTTTGTTTTTTGTGTTTTTTAGATGGAGTCTCACTCTGTCGCCCAGGCTGGAGTGCAGTGACACAATCTCGGCTTGCTGCAACCTCCACTTACAGAGTTCAAGCGATTCCCCTGCCTCAGCCTCCCGAGTAGCTGGGATTACAGGCACCTATCACCACGCCCAGCTTTACTGCATTTTTAGTTAGAAGCGGGGTTTCACCATGTTGGCCAGGCTGGTCTCAAACTCCTGACCTCAAGTGATCTGCCTGCCTCAGTCTCCCAAAGTGCTGGGAATACAGGCGTAAGCCACCATACCCGGCCCTAATTTTTTTTATTTTTTACTTTTATTTTTATTTACTTATTTTTTTTGACACAGAGTTTCACTCTTGTTGCCCAGGCTGGAGTGCAGTGGTGTGATCTCAGTTCACTGCAACCTCCGCCCCCCAGGTTCAAGTGATTCTCCTGCCTCAGCCTCCCAAGTAGCTGGCATTACAAGCATGCACCACCACGGATGGCTAATTTTGTATTTGTAGTAGAGACGGGGTTTCTCCATGTTGGTCAGGCTGGTCTTGAACTCCTGACCTCAGGTAGTCCTCCAGTCTCAGCCTCCGAAAGTGCTGGGATTATAGGTGTGAGCCACTGTGCCTGGCCAATTTTTTTTATTTTTAGTAGAGATGGGGTTTCACCATGTTGGCCAGACTGGTCTCAAACTCCTGACCTCAAGTTATCCACCCGCCTTGGCCTCCTAAAGTGCTGGGATTACAGGCGTGAGCCACTGTGCCCAGTCGACAATGTGCTGTTAAGTACAAATAGCAAAATGCCAAATGAGATGTTTGCTGTGAACACAACTACTTAAAAAGATCTCCTTTCCAGGCATGGAAAGCCTCAGTTTACTCTCACATGGACCTGAATTCCAATTGCCACCCTGCCACCCCCAGCCACACAACACTGTAAGAGTCTGAGCGAATCTCTCAAGCTTACAACAACAGAGTTCCAAATTGCATGAGTTTGACAGGAAGGCTAAATGACAGAGTACATAAAAAACACTCAGCCAAGAGCCTGGCACACAGTAGGTGTTATAGGCATGAGCCACCACACCCAGTCTGAATTTTCACTTTTTAATATTTTTAATTAAATTTAATAGAGCCAGGCACAGTGGCTTATGCCTGTAATCCCAGCAATTTGGGAGGCTGAGGTGGGAGGAGTGTTTGAAGCTAGGAGTTCAAGACCAGCGTGGGAACATAGTGAGACCCCCATCTCTACAAAAAATTCAGAAATGTTGGGGGCTTGTCTAGCATCCTTGGGGCTGAGATCAGAGTTGCCCAGGACCTGGGGAGGTGAGGTCTCAGAGGGTGGTGAGGGCACAGAGGAAGGGAGTGGAAACCTAACTCTCAAGCATCGGTCCCATATCCTTCCCCAGGCCAGGCCCAGGCCCTGGCCCCCAACTAGGAACAGTTGGGAGGTAGAGGTGGGAGGATCGCTTGAGTCTGGGAGTTCCAGGCAACAGTGAGCTGTGATGGAGCCATTGCGCCCCTGCCTGGGAAACAGAGCAAGAGCATGACTCAAAACAAAGCAAAACAAAACAAAACAAAACTGAATAATAAAAAATAAATGTTGGCCAGGCACGGTGGCTCACGCCTGTAATCCCAGCACTTTGGGAGGCTAAGGCGGGCGGATCACAAGGTCAGGGGATCGAGACCATCCTGGCTAACACGGTGAAACCCCCGTCTCTACTAAAAATGCAAAAAATTAGCTGGGCGTGGTGGCGGGCGCCTGTAGTCCTAGCTACTTGGGAGGCTGAGGCAGGAGAATGGCGTGAACCCAGAAGGCGGAGCTTGCAGTGAGCCAAGATCACGCCACTGCAGTCCAGCCTGGGCGACTGAGACTCCATCTCAAAAAATAAAAAATAAATAAATAAAAATAAATGTTGGCCAGGTGCGGTGGCTCATGCCTGTAATTCCAGCACTTTGGGAAACCGAGGTGGGTGGATCACCAGGTCAGGAGTTCAAGATCAGCCTGGCCAAGATGGTGAAACCCCATCTCTACTAAAAATACAAAAAAAATCAGCCGGGCGTGGTAGTGGGCACCTGTAATCCCAGCTACTCGGGAGTCTGAGGTGAGAACTGCTCAAACCTCGGCTGCGGAGGATGCAGTGAGCCAAGATCGCGCCACTGCACTCCAGCCTAGGCCACACAGTGAAACTCCGTCTCAAAAAAAAAACAGCCTGGCGTGGCAGCGGGCACCTGTAGTCCCAGCTACTCAGGAGGCTGAAGCAGGAGAATGGCATGAACCCAGGAGACGGAGCTTGCAGTGAGCCAAGATCGCACCACTGCACTCCAGCCTGGGCGACAGAGCGAGACTCCGTCTCAAAAATAAATAAATAAACAAATAAATAAATATTAATAGGCACATGTAGCTACTGGCGACAATATTAGCGCATAAGGCTCGACTAGTGTTATGCCTAGATGTTTATTTATTCTTCAGCAGCCCCCAGCTCAGACCTCCCCGGCACCTGCTCAGGAGCTCGTTGGCACTCCGCAGCCGCTGCACCTCGCGCTGGGCGTCCTCCTGGGCCTGCATGGCGCCATCGGTCTTGTCCCGCAGGCGCTGCAGCTGTTCCTCTAGGGCCCGCCGTTCACTCTCGCTGTCGCTAAGCTGCTTCCGCAGGGTGCCCAGCAGGTCCTGGCTTGCCTCATAGCGCCCACGCATGTCCTGGGGCGTGGGGATCACAGAGTCTAGAGGGGTCCTGGGAGGCCTCCAGAGCCCACCTACTCTCTACTGGTTCTAGGGATACACACCAGCCTACGCTAGGCGGGGTCCAGGGTCTGGACCTGACCTGGGACAGGATAGGGGCCTAGGCCTGAGATCCAGGCTTCCATTCCCCTACTATGTGCCCTCACCACCCTCTGAGCCCTCACCTCCCTGGGGTCCCGGACAACTCCTATCAAAGTCTCCCCTCCCCCCATGCCACACAAACCCCCAGGAACACTAGTCTCCTGGGATCTGACCGGCACCCCCCCAGGGCTCCCAGGCCCCTCCCCTTTGCATCCTGGTTCCACCCTCAGACTCCTCCCTACCCTGACTCTGCCCCTAGTTGCCAAGTTCCTCTCATCCTAGGCTCAGATTCCCCTTGCTAGACCTTTTCCCAGGGTCCTGGCTCTGTATGACCAGGGACCTGTCTCCCTCTCTACCAAGACCCTAACACTGCCGCATTCCTCTCCCTCCACCAGCTGCCCAAGCACCCCTACTTCTGGGCTCCATTTCACCGCAGAGCTCTCGGCCACCTCCCTGGGGGTCCTGACCCCCTCAGACACTATTTCTAAGGGCTCTGGCTGCACCACAGGGCGCTCAGACTCCTGTTCCGGACCCTGGCCCCGGACCCGGACCCGCCCCCGCCCCTGCCCCCACCCCCAACCCAGAGGGCGTGAGCACCTCCCCCGGGGCCTCTGGTGGCGCCCAGAACACTCAAACCCCTTCCTACCTGGACCTGCAGCTGGCGCTTGTGCAGGGCGGAGTGGATCAGGGCGAGCGTGGAGGAGTCTGAGCAGGCCGGGGAGGGGCCTCGGCGGGGCGAACGGCCTCGGCCCGGTGAGGAGCGCCGTGGTGGGGACGGGGTCCGCTGGCCCGAGAGCCCCCGCAGGCTGCCATCGGACGCATCTGCCGTGCGCTCGGAGCCACTCAGCTGGACACCGCTCTCAGAGTCCGACAGGACGGCCTGAGGGTAGGGGAGGAAGGCAGAAGGAGGCCAGAGTTAGGAACCGCGGGGTTAGCTGGACAAAGAGGCCCAGACTAGGCTGGGGGCCGCCTCATCCCAAATGATCCCTCCTACAAGAAGCCTTCCTGATTTCACCTCCTCCACTAGTTCAGTTCTCAGCTCGCAGCTGAGGCCTCCGATTTATTGCGAAGACATCATTTGGTGTCAGGTGGGCTCCGGAAGGGCCGTGCCTCCCCTCTGAGACTGGGGGCTGCCCAGGGCAGGGGCCGGGTGAGTTAGCAGGGGTGCTGAGCAGCTACAGCCTGGGCCCTAGGCCCCCACCCATTTGCAGTTCAGTCCCAGGCCACCAAAAGGCGTGGTGGGGGAGCCCGGGACCGCCTGGCAGGGCCCTGTCTTCCCACCTCTCTGGGCTCACACCTGTGCCAGGTCCCTTAGGGTCTGCTGTAGCCCCTCTCCGTCCTCTGTCTCCAGGGCCGCCTGCTCCTGTAGCCGCAGGGATTCCTGGAGTGCAGTTAGGGAGACAAAGGTGGTCCAGGTTCTGTCTTATCTCAAACCTCCCTTTCCCCTCCCTCCCTGGCCCACCACTGACCAGGTGGCCTCTGAAGCCATGTCCATAGGCCAGCCACCTGGTAGACCTCACAGCAGGCCCGAGGCCCTCGCTGAACAGTCCAGGCCCAAAGAAGAGCTGTGTCCTGCCCCAGGTCACACAGTCGATTGGAGGAGAGCCGAACCTAGAACCCAGGCCAGGCCCCACACAGAGGGGTGACCAAACCAGGCTGTACCCTGGGGTAGTGAGTGTCCCACTGGTGGGGGAGGGGGAGCAGCTGGGTTGCCCGAGGCAGCATCTGGACCTGGAGAGCGTGGATGGGAGTTCAAGTCCCCACTCTCCCGCTTACTGGCTCTGAGACTGGACAAGCATTTCCCCTCTTGGGCCTCAGTTTCCCCATCTGTGTCATAAGGATTATGCTACAGGGCTGCTGGGGGAAAGAAATGGGATGGAGGAGGTGAGTGTGCTTACCACGAAGACTGCACACCTGTGAGGGCTGAACCTGAGTGTGAGTGGGATGCTGGGGGTGGCCCAGGTAGCCCAGCCCTAAGCCTGTGTCCATGGATCTGGCCGGTACCCCATCCCACCCTGCCACATCTCAGGGGAAGCTACAGCTCACCAGGGCCTCAAGCTTCTCGGTGAGGTCCTTGTTGACCTGATCCTTCTCCAGATTCTGCTTCTGAAGACGCTCCACTGCCAGGCCCAGCTCTGTCACTCTGGAGTTGGGGGAGCAACAGAGGTGAATAGGGGACCACCACTGCCTCTCAAATCCAGTAGCTCTGTGTCCACCATGCTTCTCCAAACCTGAGGCAGGGACCCTAACATCCACCTCCCTGGCTGTGTGACCTTAGGCAAGTCCCGGCTCCTCTCCAGACCTCACACTTATCTGTGAAACAGGAGTGAGGTTCCCACCAGCTTTATCTCATGGGAAAGCACTTGAGGACGTGTCCAGGTGGCAGGAGTAAGGGGCACAAGCTCTTTTTTTTTTTTTTTTTTGAGACGGAGTTTCCCTCTGTCATCCAGGCTGGAATACAGTGATGTGATCTTGGCTAACTGCAACCTCCACATTCTGGGTTCAAGCGATTCTCCTGCCTCAGCCTCCCTCATAGCTGGGATTATAGGCACGCGCCACCATGCCCGGCTAGTTTTTGTATTTTAGTAGAGACAGGGTTTTGCCTGTTGGGCAGGCTGGTCTTGAGCTCCTGACCTCAGGTAATCCCCCTACCTTGGCCTCCCAAAGTGCTGGGATTACAGGTGTGAGCCACCGCACCCGGCCACAAGTTCTGTCATCAGAGGCTAAGCTGTTTATGATATACACCGGGCAAGTGCCTTCGGAACCTCAGTGGGGTGCCTGGGAAGACTGGCTGAGCTCGCAGAGGAAGGCCCCGTGCCTAGTGAACAGATGCTCCCTTCTCCCCAACCCTCCAGTTTTACCTTCTGCAGGGACGCCTGCCTTGTGCAGCACCCACCAGGTACCCACCTGGCACTGAGGTCAGCCTTGTCCAGGTCGCTCTGCATCTGCTGCTGGGCCAGGTCCTTCTCGCGGAGCACCTTGTCCCGCAGCTGCTCCTCCAGCTGGGCCTGCAGCAGGGCCTGCTTCTCCAGGGCTGCCTCCGTCCGGCTCTCTGCCAGCCGCAGGCCCGTGCTCAGTCCCAGGCCTGCCTCCTGGACAGCTCGTGATGTCCGGGCCAGCTCCCCTCCCAGCTGCAGCAGGTCCCTTGGGGAGAGAGCATAGGCTGGCGATGGGATGGGGCTCGCTCCCAACTACAAATTAAAATTATGCTGGGGCCAGGCATGGTGGCTCACACCTGTAATCCCAGCACTTTCTTTGGGAGGCCAAGACGAGCAGATCGCCTGAGGTCAGGAGTTTGAACCAGCCTGGCCAACATAGTGAAACCCCATCTCTACTAAAAATACAAAAATTGGTGGGGCATGGTGGCACCCGCCTGTAATCCCAGCTACTTGGGAGGCTAAGGCAGAATTGCTTGAACCCAGGACATGGAGACTGCAGTAAGCCGAGATCATGCCACTGCACTCCAGCCTGGACAACACAGCGAGACTGCGTCTCAAAAAAATAAATAAATAAAATAAAAATAAAAATATATTAGGCTGGGTGCGGTGGCATGCACCTGCAGTTTCAGCTATGTGGGAAGCTAAGGCAGGACTGCTTGAGCACAGGAGTTTGAGGCCAGCATGAGAAACATAGTGAGACTCCATCTCAAAAACAAAAGAGGAAGAAAAAGAAAAATACAGCAACAAACCCTACACTGGGATGCCATTTGTCCACTATCAGATTGGGGAAAAAAAAAAAAAAGGGTCACATAATACACAGGGAGGGGCTTTGGGGTAACAGGCACTCCCCTACACAGCTGGTATGAGGGTGAGTACAACCACAAGGGAGGGCACTGGGGGAGAGTTCCGAGAACCATGCATGCATAGGACCTTCCCACCAGCTCCTCCTCTAAGAATGTATCCAAAGATAGACCCCAGCACAGAGGAGATGGCTTGTGGACAAGGAGGTTCACTGCAGCACTGCTCGTGTAAAAAATCCTGGTGACAACCTGAATGTCTATCAAAAGGGGACTGTTACTAAGTACATGATGGTACATCTACTCAGTGGAACACTCTGTGGTCAAAGAAAACCAGTGAAAAAGTTTCTCCTGGTCTGACACAGAGCCACCTCCCAGTTAAAACTGGTAGGTGAGGAAAGCATCTTCAAGAACTGTGAACATGAAATTTTACCAGGCGTATATACAAAAGAGTGTGTGTGTGTGTGTGTGTGTGTGTGTGTGTGTGTGTGTGTGTGATCTGCTTTATTTGATTATATAAGATAACCCTGGAAGGTCACTTAAGAAACTGATAGGCCAGGAGCGGTGGCTCACGCCTATAATCCCAGCACTTTGGGAGGCCGAGGTGGGAGGATCACCTGAGGTCAGGAGTTCGAGACCAGCCTGGCCAACATGGCAAAACCCCGCCTCTACTAAAAATACAAAAATTAGTTGGGTGTGGTGGCTCATGCCTGTAATCCTAGCTACTTGGGAGGTAGAGGTGGGAAAATCGCTTGAACCTGGGAGATGGAGGTTGCAGTGAGCCAAGACTGTGTCACTGCACTCTAGCCTGGGAGACAGAGGGAGACTCCATCTCGGAAAAAAAAAAAAAAAAGGAAACTGATAATGCATCTCATGGTAACTTGGTGGCCAAAAGAAAAAAGAAAAAACTTGTATATATAAAAAGAAAAAGAAGCTGATAATGCTGCTTGCCTCTAAGGCGGGAAGGGGAATATCTAGGGTCAGAGGTGAAAGGGAGCCGTTTTACTGTGTACCCTTTTGAAATGTGAACCTTGTGAACATGTGACTTAATCAAAAGTAAAATATAAAAATATTAAAAGGCTACTTAAAAATTTTGTTTTTGTTTTTTTTGAGATGGAGTCTCTTTCTGTGGCCACCAAGGTAGGTGGATCACCTGAGGTCAAGACCAGCCTGGCCAACATGGTGAAGCCCCCATCTCTACTAAAAATACAAAAGTTAGCTGGGCTTGGTGGCTCACGCCTGTAATCCCAGCTACTCACGAGGCTGCAGCCATAGAATTGCTGAACCCAAGAGGCAGAGGTTGTAGTGAGCCAAGATGGCGCCACTGCACTGCAGCCTGGGCAACAAAGCGAGACTCCATCTCAAAACAAAAAAAAAGACAAAGCAACCATTCACATTTTGTGAATGTCTATGGATCTGGATTCAAACAAATTGTAAAGAAAACACTAAAGCAAGACTATCTGTGAATTTTTTTTTTTTTTTGGAGACAGTTTCACTCTGTCACCCAGGCTGGAGTGCAGTGGTGTGATCTCGGCTCACTGAAACCTCTGCCTCCTGGGTTCAAGCGAGTCTGGTACCTCAGCCTTCCCAGTAGCTGGGATTACAGGCGTGTGTCATCACGCCTGGATAATTTTTGTATTTTTAGTAGAGACGGGGGTTTCACCACGTTGGCCAGGCTGGTCTCGAATTCCTGACTTCAGGTGATCCGCCCGCCTGGGCCTCCCGAAGTACTGAGATTATAGGCATGAGCCACTGCACCTGGCCTATCTGTGACATTTATGAGACATATGGAAAATCCAGACACTGGCTATTTGATGGTATTAAGAAAAGATTATTAAACCAGGTGTGTGTAATCCCAGCACTCTGGGAGGTCAAGGCAGGAGGATCACTTGGGCTCAGGAGTTCAAGACCAGCCTGGGCAACAAAGTGAGACCTCAACTCTACAAGAAATAAAAAAATCAGCAAGCCTGGTGGCATGCACCTGTGGTCCCAACTGCACAGGACCTGAGGTAGGAGGATTGCTTGAGACCAGGAGGCCGAGGCTGTAGTGAGCCATAAAGAAAAGAAAAGATAAAGAAAAGATTACTAACTAAAAGGTTTTTAAGGCACTAAATGAAACACCTTGGCCCCCTGCCTTGGGGCTCTCTCCACAGCCTCCTGACACTGCTGTTGAGTGGACTGCTCACACCGATCAGACGCCCCTGTTCAAAGATCAGGCAGGCCGAAGCTCCCCCGCTGAGGCAGGCTCTCCTTTCCCTGTACCAGCCCTTCGTTCAACCCCCCTGGCTGCCATGGGCTCGCACCTCCCTGCCTTTGCTCATGCCTTGCTTCTGCTTGGAGTGCCTGCTGCTCTGCTTCAACCCTACCCATTCCTTGAGGCTCTGAGCAAATTCCATCTCCACAAAGCGGTTTTTCTGACCTCCCCACCCCTCCCATCCTTCTGAGCCTCCAGGACATTCCCTCTGTCCCATGTACATATCACTGACCACTCGCTTCCTTAGTCTAGAATTTTGGGGATCTACGTCTCTTCATCACTAGAGGCTGTGAGGTCCTTGGTAGCAAAGCTGAATATTCTAGTGGATTAAAATCAGGAACTTTGGCCTGATGCAGTGGCTCATGCCTATAATCCCAGCACTTTGGGAGGCTGAGGCTGGCGGATTGCCTGAGCTCAGGAGTTCGAGACCAGCCTGGGCAACATGGTGAAACCCCGTCTCTACTAAAAGACAAAAAAAAAAATTAGGCGTGGCGGCATGCCCGTTATCCCAGCAACTCAGGAGGCTAAGGCAGGAGAATTCCTTGAACCCAGGAGGTAAGAGGTTGCAGTGATCCAAGATCGTGCCACTGCACTCCAGCCTGGTGACAGAGCGAGACTCCATCTCAAAAAAAGAAAAATCAGGAACTTCAAACTCTGACTCAGCCACTTATGTACTATTGTGTGACCTCAGGAAGATCACTCAACCTCTCTGTGCCTCAATGTCCTCATCTGTAAAATGGGAATGAACACAGTTCCTACTTCACAGGGAAGCTATGAATATTAGTTGAAATGAAATATACAAAGAGTCTAGCTCAGAGTCAACATCTAATAAATGCTGACTGCCATGACTATGGTAATGGTTATTACAGGTTGCCTCTGTGTCCTCACACGCCCTTGTGCACAGTAGGTGCATTGAGTTGAACTGAAATTCAACTGAGTTGAGTTGGATGTAAAGAGCAGGGCTGGCTCTCAGCCTCTGCCCCGTCCCCGGCCAGGCCTCACCTCTCGGTGAACATCTTCACCTCGCTGACCAGCCGCCGGAACCCCACTACCTGCCTCCAGAGGAGGAGCAGGCGACTGTGCTCGTTGCTGAAGTAGGCGTTGAAAGACTGGAGGGAAGACATGCCAAGAGAAGGGTTGGGGTGACAGCAGGTTTACTCCCTCCCCCAGCTTCCCCCATCTCCGACCATTCCAGGAGGCACCACCGTTCAAGGGAGCGGGTTTTTCTGTGGGCCTGTGTGCAGAGTTGTGTCCAAGCAGCCACGCTCAGCCTCCCAAGCCTCATGGTTCCCTCCTGCACAGGGACCTGGGTTTCAAATCCTCTTTTGGCTGCAAGAGGCAGCAAGGAAGGGAAAAAATGCCAGGGACCTAGCTTTGCCTCTCAGCTGCCAATTGCATGACTGTGGGCAGGTTACTTAACCTGTCTTTATTTATTTTGAGACAGAGTCTTGCTCCGTTGCCCAGGATGCAGTGCAGTGGCACGATCTCTTAGCCTCCTGAATAGCTAGGATTACAGGCGTGTGCCACCACGCCCGGCTATTTTTTGTATTTTTAGTAGAGACGGGGTTTCACCATGTTGGCCAGCCTGGTCTCGAACTCCTGACCTCAGGTGATCCACCTGCCTCAGCCCCCCAAAGTGCTGGGATTACAGGCGTGAGCCACAGCAACCGGCCTTAACCTCTCTTTAAAATCAGGAGAATGATAACACCTACCACATGCTGTTATTACGAGGAATAAAGGTCAATGCACACCATGCACATGGTACATGCTACGCATTGATAAAGACCAGTTATTGTGATGACGGCTATTTACTTCTGCTAACATGCTCCCTTGGACAGTGCTCCCTCTCCAGTGCACCTTCCCCTTGGGTCAAGCTGGCCTCCCTGCACCCCCATGCCCACCTCCTCCTCACGCCTCCATGCTGCCTCCCGCTGCTCCAGCTCCTTGCGGCTGCGTGCCCAGTCACTGGTCACCTTTCGTATGTCCTCACTCAGAGCTTGGTTGGCCAAGCCTGCCTGGTCAAGCTGTTCTCGGAGCATGGCATTCACCTGGGCCAGACTGGCACTCCTGAATGGGGGACAGGGGATCAGCAGGCACTCGCCCAGGGGGCCATCCTGCCAGCCCTGGCCCTCCCTGCTGCGCCCTCACCTCTGCTGCTCCTCCTCCAGCCGAATAAGGGCGCTCTCCAGGTCTTGGCTGTGTTCTGTGTTCTAGGTGAGAGAAAGGTTAAAGCATCAGGCTGGGCAGGTAGAGGGCAGGGCCTGCCCCTGCCCCACCCTGGCACCCACCCTCAGTCGCTGCTGCTCCAGCTCTCCGGATCTCTCCAGCAGCTGCTGCTCCAGCTCTGAGCACCTCTTCTTGTACTGGAGAATCTGGGGATGGGGAGCTGATGGTGAGCCCCAGGGGTTGGGGTAGTGCAAAGTGAACATGTGGGAGGGCAGGAGCAGGAGTGGGTGGCCCTGACCTTGCCCTGCAGCCGCTGTACAAGCTGGGCCTGCCGCTGCTGGCCCTCCTGGTAGGCCTGCAGCTTGCGCCGGTAAGAGGCCTGCTCCTCCTGCAACTGCCTCCGCAACTCCACGCTCTGCCGTACCAGCCCCCTGGGCTCCTGCGTCTCCAGCTCCCCAGACTCCAGCCGCAGAGTCTGCTCCAGCTGCAGGGAAGGGCCATGGGTGAGAGTCCCGGGCCTCCTAGGAAGGCAGGCTCAGGCCTCTGTAGGGGGCACCAGGCTGGGCCCAGACCCACAATGCCTTGTAGGCTGATAGCCTGGCACCCTAGGGAGCAGGCACATGTGGGCAAGCCCAGGGGCAGTGCACATGTGCAGGGGGTGATGCAGCCATGCACAGACATGCAGATAGGGCATGCATGGACACATGCAGGTGAGCCCACAAACCCAAACCATGCAGGCAAAGCTCAAAGGTGCACCTGGGATCAACCTCAGGGGCCTCAGTAAACCATGTGCCCCTTCTCCAGAACACTTAGCCCCGTCGTGGTTTCTGTTTATTACATTGATGCCTGTGTCTCCCCACCACGCCCCCACTCCAATGTGAGCTCAGGAAAGCCTGGATTTTTTGTTCCTCAGTGTATCTTAGTACTAGAATGGTGGCTGTGGTATGCATGGCTCACGCTCAGTAAAATATTTGTTGTGAGGTGAATTAATGGCATGAGCTCATGGGAATATATTCAAAACAGAGGTGTCAATCAACCTATGCATATCTGAGCTTAAAGATATGCACACAATAACACATACAGGCAACCTCAAACATCCCCAGGTGGACACGAATGAACCCCTCAAATATACAACATTAAGATTTGTAAAAGATGCGCACAGATGTTGCCCTATACAGCGCCTGTATATTAATGCCACCTTCTGGCTGGGTGCAGTGGCTCACGCCTGTAATCCCAGCACTTTGGGAAGCCAAGGTGGGTGGATCACTTGAAGTCAGGGGTTCGAGACCAGCCTGGACAACATGATGAAACCCCGTCTCTACTAAAAATACAAAAATTAGCCGGGCGTGGTGACATGCACCTGTAATCCCAGTTACTCAGGAGGCTGAGGCAGGAGAATCGCTTGAACCTGGGAGGCGGAGGTTGCAGTGAGCTGAGATCACACCACTGCACTCCAGCCTGGGCAACAGAGCAAGACTCCATCTTTGTTTATTTTTATTTTATTTTACTGAGACAGTCTCGCGCTGTCTCCTGGGCTGGAATGCAATGGCGCCATCTCGGCTCACTGCAACCTCTGCCTCCCAGATTCAAGGAATTCTCCAGCCTCAGGCTTCCAAATAGCTGGGACTACAGGTGCGTGCCACCACACCTGGCTAATTTTTTGTATTTTTAGTAGAGATGGGGTTTCACTATGTTGGCCAGGCTGATCTCGAACTCCTGACCTCGTGATCTGCCCTCAGCCTGCCAAAGTGCTGGGATTACAGGCACGAGCCACAGTGTCCGGCCCAAGACTCCGTCTTAAAAAAAGAAAAAAAGGCGCCCTTCGTCCTCACCTCAGGAAAGCCTCTGCTGCTGCCGCCCTTCCTCCACCCCCAGGCAGCTCCCATCCCCTGCATCCTCAGACCCCTGTGGGCTCTGGCTGCCCCTACCAGCCATGGAACCCTCTCAACGCCCTTAAGGCACCTGCTGGCCCCTGATCTTCCCCAGTTGTTGGGGAGAAGGGAGGTGAGAGAGGAGCAGGGCAGTGTGAGAGCGCACAGTGGGTTGGGGGCACCCAGCAGGGACAACACCCCAGCCCAGCTGACTCTGACACTAGCCCCGCACTCACCATCTGTGGGTGCGGGTTACGCTGTGCACATTCGGTGAATTGGAGTGCTTTTGTGTGGACTAGTTTTAGGGTCTCACTATGTTGTTTGTGGCTTGTTTTGTGCATCTGTGTGTCTCTGTGTGGGGCCCGTGTCGTGTCCACACTGCATATCTGTGTGAAGCAGGTACTGTTTGCCTCTGGGACACAGAGGGGTTCAGGCCGTTGCTGGGTTCTCCTCCCCTTTCTCCAATGCTCAGAACCAGAGCCAGGACCCTCTCGGCCACACCTCACCCCTTTCCATAACCTTCACCCCGCACAAAACAGCCTTTCGATTTTACTTGCAATTCAAAAGGGAAGGAGGCTGCCACTAAGCCAGAGATGAAAGAAGTTGACTGTCTCCCCTAGCAACCGCTGCCCTCGGACCGCCATTCCATTTACTCTTTCCAGGTTGCTATGGACACAAGGGAGCCCAGGGGTCTGTCCTCTGGAGCCAAGGGAGGCGTGGCCACTCCCTCCTTTCCATTCTCAGCTGTGCCTACACCTGCTTCTCAGGGACAGCAAGAAGGAGGGACCCCCGTAGGGGGCCGGAGGTCCTCTCTGTTGGCCGGGAGGTGGCCTCTGGGAGTTCCTCAGTTTCCCTGCAGGACATGCAGTCAACAGGATACCGGACCCTCCCTCCACTCCCCATGCCAGGGGTGCTGCAGGGTTGGAAAGATCAGAACAATCTCGCTGACTGCCCCCCAACCCAGCCCACCATGCCAGTGAGGGCCACAGGGGCAGGCACTTGCCACCTGTGGCCATGGAGAAAAGGGGGTGGCAGGGAAAGAATGTTGCCCAACTGCAGAGCCCTGGACCAAGGGTCTCATCCCAGCACCACCACTGACCTTGGGCCTATCATGCCCCCTCTCCAGGACTTACTTTCCCTATCTGTGATAAGGTGATCTCCAGGCTCTGAAGTTCTCTGGGGACCCACCCTCCAGGAAAGGCCTTTGCCGTCATTCCTATTCCACCTCTGCCTCCAGGTGGGGCCTCATTCAAACCATGGTGGATAGAGGACAACTGAAGCAGCGGGCGCCCTCTGCGTGCCATTTGGGGCCCCCCTAGCCACAGGAGGGAGCCTTCCACACTAACCCAGTCCCCCTGTGCTGCAGTCCCAGCCCCAGCTGCTGTGTCCCAGCAGAGGAGGAACCTGTCACCTCCCACCTCTTCCTTTCCCTGCCAACTGGGGGCAGGGCCAGCTTCAGAAGGTGGCATTTAAGAGGCAGGCCCTGGGGGTGTGGCACTGTGCCATGCATGGGCCAAAAGAAAAGGGAGGGCTGGCTCAGGGCCCCATCACCACTGACAATGCAAGACTGGGGCCAGCATGCCCTACACACCCGCTGCAGACCCTGGGAAAACTAGCTCTCCACTGTCCTGATGCTAGGGGCCACTGTGGGCCGCCTACCCGGCTCCTCTACAAGTCCCAACTCGTCGGGGGTTTGTCCAGCCAGACAAATCCCAGGACACGGACACGCCCCACAGTCACACACAGGAACACACACCCTCCTCCCAGTGCGGGCTCCAGCCTGGACAAGCCCAGCTCAGGGGTCCCACGCCAACCCCAGCTCTGCCACTACCACACAGGAGACCCTGGGCCAGCCCCTGCCTCTCTGGGTCCCTTCCAACTTTGCGGGGACCAGCTGTGCCCTGAAATCCTTAGCCCTGAGTCTCTTCCCGTACGTAGGAAACAAAACTTCAGAACTTTGGTTCTAGACTGGGTTAGTCTAGAAACCAAACAGAGCCCCAGGGCTGCGAGCTGGAAGACCTGGTGTCTAGCCTTAACTGTCTGTGTGCCCCCAGCATGGTGCTTCCCATCCCTGAGCTTGTTTTCTCCTTTGTTAAATGGGCATCATAATGGTCCCGAACTTGGTGTATTAAATGTGAAACACTCAGCACATGCCTGGCACACAGTAGGCATTCAATAAACAGTAGCTACCATTTTTTTTTTTTTTTTTTTTTGAGACAGAGTCTCGCTCTGCCGCCCAGGCTGGAGTGCAGTGGCGTGATCTTGGCTCACTGCAAGCTCCGCCTCCCGGGTTCACGCCATTCTCCTGCCTCAGCCTCCCGAGTAGCTGGGACTACAGGCGCCCGCCACCTCGCCCGGCTAGTTTTTTTGTATTTTTTAGTAGAGACGGGGTTTCACTGTGTCAGCCAGGATGGTCTCGATCCCCTGACCTCGTGATCCGCCCGTCTCTGCCTCCCAAAGTGCTGGGATTACAGGCTTGAGCCACCGCGCCCGGCCAACAGTAGCTACTATTAATACACTATTGCCACCTGCATGCCTCCCATCTGCACACATACACTCGGTCCCACTTGCAACTCCCTTACCAATCTTCAGCCACCACCAACTTCCCAGGGTTACCTCCCGGCCACCTGGAGGCCCAAAGCAGACAGTGCATGAACAGCATCACGCACCCCTGGCACCGGCTCACACCCAGCTCCCGCCCCAGGCCGTGGGACCCCCACAAGCCTACAGCACAGGTGATGTGAAACCTGCCTGGACATGAAGACAGGCCTGCTTCTCCTTCCTTCCCTGCCTGGAACCCATTCCAATAGGCAGTGGCGGCAGGTCTTGTGGCTGTCCCAGATGTCCTGCAGAACACCACGGGTGGCCACACCAGCCTCCAGCCAGCATCCAGCCACCGCCTCAGCCCCAAGGCCCGTGGCAACGGTAGCACAGGGAGATGCCCAGAAACTCAAGGGGCAGGAATCTCTAGGGATCTCGTTCTCTGTGTCCCGCATCCCTAACAGGCCTGGGACAGATGGGAACAAAATGCCCCTATGCCAGGCACTTTATTCTATTATTTCCTATTATTCACACAACTCCACGTCCCATTACAATCCCCACTACAGAAAACAGGCTTGAAGAATGTAGTGATTTGTTCAACGCCACTCAAGGTGGCAGAGCCTCAATCCAAGCTCAGGCCAACCTGACACCAGGGCCCATCTTTTGCCCCATGTGTAGGCCTGGTCTAGATGCCTCCATGCCCTCAAACCAGGGGAGCTCTGGCCTAGCCCACCACCTGGGCAGCACCCACCCTCTCGCTGACCGCGTTGTACTTAATGGCAAGTTCATCGCGCTCGGCACGGCTCTGGGCCAGCAGGTCCTCCACGCGGGACAGCTCCTGCTGCAGCAGCTGGTTCTCCTCCTGCAGTGACAGCAGCGATGCCATCTCTGTGGCTGGCAGCGGGACTGGCAAGGGACAGTGGGTACATGGTTGGCTTCTGAGTCCAGTGGGACATCCTCCCCACATGGGGGGGGGGCAAGAAAACCATCCAGGCCCCTGAGATGAGCCCAGGTGGGAATGGCTGCAGCACCAGGCCTGCAAACAGAGCTGAGAACAGGGAGGAAGGCAAGGAGGGGATACAAAGCTGGACATAAAGTAAACACGGCTCCAGCTAAAGTGTGGCCCAGCAGCTTTTGGAGGTGCAGGAGAGAGGCTCAGTCTAGGACCCAGGAGACCCCTGAGTTCTTCCTCCCTCCTTTTCCAATTACTATTCTTCTCTGGGGCCTGTTTTACTTATCTGTAAAATCAGTGGGGCGGGCACGGACTCACGCCTGTAATCCTAGCACTTTGGGAGGCGAGATGGGAGGATCACCTGAGGTCAGGAGTTTGAGACTAGCCTGGCCAACATGGCGAAGTCCTGTCTCTACTGAAAATACAAAAATTAGTTGGGCATGGTGGTATATGCCTGTAGTCCCAGCTAATTGGGAGGCTGAGACAGGGGAATCCCTTGAACCCGGGAGGCGGAGGTTGCAATGAGCCGAGATTGCACCACTGCACTCCAGCCAGGGTAACGCAGCGAGACTCTGTCTCAAAAAAAAAAAAAAAGGTAGAATAGTAACCAGATCCTCCCAGAAAAGCATCAAAGCCGCACTCAAGAGAAGAGCTTCAAGGAACTTCAAAGGCTAGGACTCAGGATAGCGTGGGTCAGGTTGTGAGGAGGAGGAGAAAGAGAGAAGAGGGAAAGAAAGGCCAGCGGGAGAAGCGGGGTTGTCCACCTCCTGTGGGTTCCCCTTCTACCCCAGGAGAACTGGACATACGCCCCAGGTGTCAGGGTGAGGGCCCCCTGAGTCTCTCTCTGTCTGGGGCTCCAGGGCGCCAGCATCCCTGGTGCTCCCAAGGCGGGGGCCCGTCTGTAGCTTGTCAGTTGAACAGAGACAATGGTTAGAACACCCAAACGCCATCACGGAGGGCTGCCAGCACACCAGCTGCAACTGACTGTGCCCTTCCCAGACCCTCAAGCCACATAACACCACCATGTGTGCCACCCGCTGAGAGGAGCAGGGACCATCCACCTTCCTGCCCACGTGGGAAATGCATGGACAGTGCCATCCACTCAGACTTCTGCAAAACCCTGGTCTGAGCTGAGCTGCCCTTTCCCTACATCTTGGGTTCAACCAGCTCACACCTTCCCCGGGTGGAAATACGGGATTTGGGGTTCACATCTTTGCAGCAGGCTACAGGCAAGCACGGAGGGGATGCTCAGCCCTTCCTTCTAGTTGCACCACATGCGGAATAAGTCTGGGCAAATTCATCCCTGAGCCTCCGTTTCCTCATCTGTAAAATGGGTTCTTCCATCATAAGGTTGTGCCTGCCCCACAGCGAGTTACAGTCATGATCATCATGGTGACTGCTCAGGAAAGAGACATGCAAAGAGGTAAAATGTGGGTGGTGTCTGTGGAAGGGAGCGGATGGGGGTGGCACCTGGGCTCTCAGGCCAGGAGAGGTTGCGGGTGACAATCTCCCTGATGCGGGCAGGCAGGCTGGTGGTCTGAGCGTCCTGGGCCAGGTCCCGCGTGCCCAAGCCCTTCTCCTGGCACAGGACGCTGCTCTCCAGTGTCTGTGGGAAAAGCGAGAGGGTCTTCAGGGGACCTGGGACCCGGGGCTCCCTGGCCTCGGGGGAAGAGCCAAGTCCTACCGCCCAAGATACGGGTCCCCAGGAGCCCCCGCAAGATGGAGTGAAGCCTGGGAATTAGAATCCAAAAAATCCCCGTGGGAGGAGCCTCTTGTGCGCTCCCCGCCCCTGGAAGAAGTCCACCCAGGGCCAGAGATGCGAACCAAACCCCAGGAGCAACTCCCAAACCCCACTGAGGCAGTCCAGTGTTGGGGGCTCCAATCCGGCTCCGACCCTAGATGGATGAGGATCCGGCTATGCCAGAGGTCCTCCGAATCCTAAAATCTGGAAGTAGGGACCCTCTTCTCCCAATGCAGGGCACTGGGATACTGGGATGAGGAAGCCACAGCAGGTGCACCCTGTGTGTACCTCTGCCCCCCCGTCTTGCCAGGAACTGCAAACGGGGGCCCCTTATGCCCCACCAGCACCACACCCCTCCCACCCCTTGACCCCCAAGACGCACACACCTCTCACCACTCCTGCTAAGTCCACACTACCCCGCCCCAGACAGGGTGGGCACAGCCCCCAGGACCCACCTGGATAACCGTCTCTAGTGTCAGCTCGACGTCCTGTGCCCCCGCCAGCCCCAAGGTCATGGGGGGGAGGCTGTGAGCACTCCTCCAGCCCCCTTCCCCAGGACCCCAAGACTAGCTCAGTCAGCACGCGCCACAGCCAGGCTGCTGTGCTGAGCACCAGGCAGATTAAGCTTAAATCCGGCGGCGCCCCCATGTGACCACCGGGGTGGGAGGAGCGGGATGGGGGCTGAGGGGGGAGGGGATGGGAAAGGACAGGAGAGGAGGGAAGCAGAGGCGGGGAGCCGAAGGAAGAGGAAGGATAAAGAGAGGGGAGAAGAAGGGAGAGAAAGGAAGGGAGGAGAGAGAAGAGGGAATGGGGGTTGAAAAGGAGGGGAGGTACCTGGAGGTCAGGACCTCACACACTCTCCACCCTCCACAGGTTGCTGGGTCCTAGAGCCCTCCAAGCCAGGGGATGGGGTCAGTAGCCATGAGACAGGAAAGGCCAGAGTCCTAAGTCTTCAGGACCATCTTTGCTGGCCCAGAACTGGGGTCACATGGTTAGCTAAGAATGCAAGGATTTACAGCATGCTGGGAGCACGCTTTCCCACAACAGGTGTAGGGCAAAGAATGCAGGCTGTGAGGTCACCCAGAGCAGGCTAGGCACTTAGCTAGGCATGAGCGGTCCAGCCTGGACTGATGAGCATTTATGCAACACCTGCAGCATTCCTAGGTCTGACCTAGACACAGTAGCACAGCCTCGACCTACAAATGCCCCAGCCTTGCCCTGCGGGCACTTATTGAGAAGCTTCTGGCCCCTCCACACCCACACCAGCCCCCACTTGCTGGGTGCACCAGCAACAGTGACTTTGCCTCTCTGAGCCTCAGTGTCCTCTTACGTAAGATGTGATAATATTGGCACTCACCTCATGGAGCTGTCTGGGGATGAAAGAAAATATCGTGTGTGCATAACCAGCACATGACACGGTGCCGGGGGGTCACAGGGTCAACACTCAAGAAATACTCATTTCATTCATTTGAAAATCCAAAAGGCACAGTCCCGGTCGAGCGCGGGCGCTCACGCCTGTAATCTCAGCATTTTGGGAGGCCAAGGCAGACAGATCAGCTGAGGTCAGGAGTTTGAGACCAGCCTGACCAATATGGTGCAACCCCATCTCTACCAAAAATACAAAAAATTAGCTGGGCGTGGTGTCACATGCCTGTAATTCCAGCTACTTGGGAGGCTGAGTCAGGAGAATCGCTTGAACCTGGGAGGCAGAAGTTGCAGTGAGCTGAGATCGTGCCACTGCACTCCAGCCTGGCAACAGAGTAAGACTCTATCTCAAGAAAATAAATAAATAAATAAAAATAAAAAAATTAGCTGGGGCATGGTGGCATGTGCATGTAATCCCAGCTAGTCAGGAGGCTGAGGCAGGGGAATCACTTGAACCCGGGAGGAGGAGGTGGCAGTGAGGCAAGATTGTACCACAGCACTCCAGCCAGGGTGACAGGGCAAGACTCTGTCTCAAAAACATAAAATAAAATAAAATAAAATGAGACTAGACCAAGTGTGGTAGTTCAGGTCTGTAATCCCAGCACTTTGGGAGGCCAAGATGAGAGAATCACTTGAGCCCAGGAGTTTGAGACCAGCCTGGGCAACATAGCAAGACTCTGTCCTACCAAAAACAACAAAAAAATGAGACTGATAGTACCTGCCACACCTGGCAGGTGGTGAGCTATTAGCCAATGGTGGCCACTGTTCCTTTCGTCATTAGCATCATGTGTCTAGGCTCCTGTCCTTAGAGTTGTAAGCCCTGAAAAAGGACAGGAATTGCTCATTCGAGGAGCTCCACTTTTAAGACACAAGTCTGCTGAAGTTCCCAGCTGAACAAAGCTCCTTCCTTCTTTAACCTGGTGTCTGAGAAGTTTTGCCTGTGGCTCGTCCTGCTTCACTGCTATGCCTCAGCCCTCGGCCTCTGGGTGCCTTCTGCTCCATGCTGTGCCCTAAAGGGGGCATATTCACATTATCTCATTAAATCCTTACTTTGACCCATTTCCAGATGAGAAAACTGAGGCTCAGAGAGATTGGGCTCTCACCTACTCAAGGTGACATGCTTCAGGGAAGTGGTGAGCCCACAGCTCATTCCACTGTGACCAGCAGCCTCCCAGTAAGTGACTGAAGGGCAAGGCCGAGGCATTTGCACTTTGAGGCTCTACTACTGTATCGAGGTCAGACCCAGAATGCCACGGTGCTGTACAAATGCTCATCAGTCCAGGCTAGACCGCTCATGCCCAACTAAGGGACCTGTCCTGCAGATGGAAAACCAAGAGACAGGGCAGAAAAGATAAATGTTGCCAAGTTGCAATGGCAAGCAAGCCAGATTTGGGCAAAACTAAACCAGCCACTGTCCGGGTGCAGTGGCTCACGCCTGTAATCCCAACACTTTGGGAGGCCGAGGCAGGTAGATCGCTTGAGATCAGGAATTCTAGACCAGCCTGGCCAACGTGGTGAAACCCCGTCTCTACTAAAAATACAGAAATTAGCTGGGCATGGTGGTGGGTGCCTGCAGTACCAGCTACTCGGGAGGCTGAGGCACAAGAATCACTTGAAACCAGGAGGCAGAGGTTGCAGTGAGCTGAGATTGCACCACTGCACTCTAGCCTGGGTGATAGAGCGAGACTGTGTCAAAAAAAAAAAAAAAAAAAAAAACTAAACTAAACCGGCCAGCAGCAGAGAGCTGCCACTACAAACCACAGGGATGCCCACTCTTCTACCTCTAGGCAGCCTCCAAAAATCCCCACTACAGGCTGCACACCTGCCTATCAAAGCAGGGGGAAGCCACAAATACAAATACCCCTGGGCCAGCATGTCCAGCCCTGCACACCCAGCTCAGCAGAGGGGGCCCCAGATGTCCTTGGGGGACTAAACTGAATTGTTCTGTGCCTTCTCCTGACCACGGCCCTAAGGGTTGGGGGAAGGGGACAGGATATCAGCCCCTGGCACCAGGTGACACCCACCCTTGGCTCCATCCCCAAAGTTCTCCTGCAGAGTCCTGCTGGGTTCTGTGGGTCCCAGGAAGTCACATCTGAACCCTGTGTATGTTGTATGTGTCCACTACTTCCACCCAATTCTCCAAAAAAAAAAAAAAAAAAAAAAAAGACTGAATTCCCCTTAGAAATCTGGATGCTAACAGCTTCAGCATCTGGCCACCTGGACTCCAATCTTGGCTCACAGACCCTGCGCCAGAGTCTTCACTTCCCTGAGCCTCAGTTTCCTCATCTGCAAAATGGGATAATAATGGTGCCTGTCTCTAGCATGAGCATCAAATAAAATACCCCGTGCTAAGCTATATGCCTGGATATGGTGTGGCAGAAGCTGCAATGTGCTCACCACAAAGCATTTCCGATTCTCTTAGGAATATGGCTGAAAGCCATTTCCCAGACTCCTTTCCAGTCAGATACGGCCACGTGGTCAACTTCTGGTCCACAGAATTCAGACAGAAAGAAAGCGTGCCACGTTAGGCTTGGCCCATAAAATTATTTCTCTCCTTCCTGCTCCATCAGCTAGAAGGAAATAATTCCAAGGTCCTAGGGGATGCTGGAACCACAAGACAGAAGGGATCTGGGTCTCTGGGTCACCACATAGAAAGCCACCGGCGAAACACCCAGCAGGACTTTTCATGAATGAGAAATAAACTTCCATTGTGCTAAGCCTCTGAGGATTCAGGGTTTCACTATCACATTAGCTAGTGTTACCTTAATTACTACCAGCAGTTAAACAGCCGGTAAGTGTTGGTTATTACTACTGTTATCATTACTATCATGAGTATTATTGGCTCTTTCTAGTACCGAAGCTAGAACCCTGTGCCTTGTTCTAGATGCTGAGCCATTATTTGGTGACCAAACACAGAAGAGATACCCTTTGTACCCTTCCCTCCCCACTACCACCCTCCAAACCTGCCTTTTGCCAGGGTTAGCGGCAGGAACTAGCCAAAAAGCTCCTCAGAGATTACTCATTTCAAACATAGCAGTACCTCTTATCCGCTTACCCCTTCTTTATCCTCCTGCTGCTGACTGGAAATTATGACAAAAATATTGAACCAACCATGAGCCAGTCCCTGTGTGCAAAATGTTACATCTGTCCCTTACCTGCTTTAACATTCCCGGCACCACTCTACTCACTTTACAGATGACAGCATGAAGTCTCAGCAAAGTTACATAACTGGCTCCAGTGCACCCAGCCACAAAGAGCTCAAGTCACAGCCGCGACCTAGGTGTGCCTGATTCCAAAGCGTTTTTGTTTTTTTTTTGTTTATTTTGTTTTGCTTTGTTTTGGAGATGGAGTCTCGCTCTGTCACCCAGTCTGGAGTGCAGTGGCATGATCTCGGCTCACTGCAACCTCTGCCTCCTGGGCTCAAGCAATTCTCCTGCCTCAGCCTCCTGAGTAGCTGGGATTACAGGTATGCGCCACCACGCCCAGTTAATTTTTTAATTTTTAGTAGAGACAGGATTTCACCATGTTTGCCAGGTTGGTCTCAAACTCCTGACCTCAAGTGATCTACCTGCCTCGGCCTCCCAAAGTGCTGGGATTACAGGCATGAGCCACCACGCCCAGTCCAGAGTCTTAAATAATAACAGCAAGCTGGGTGATCCCAACACTTTGGGAGGCTAAGGTAGGAGGACTGCTTGAGCCCAGGAGTTTGAGACCAGCCCTGGCAACATAGTGAGACTCCATCTCTACCAAAAAATACAAAAAAAAACTGGCTTGGCATGGTGGCATATACCTCCTGTAGTCCCAGTTCCTTGAGAGGCTGAGGCAGGAGGATTGCTTGAGCCTGGAAGGTTGAGGCTGCAACGAGCTGCGGTTGTGTCACTGCACTCTAGCCTGGGTGAAAGAGCAAGACACTGCCTCAGATAAACAAAAACAGTAACAGCAATGACTGCCATCCTGCAGCGCCTGCTGTGTGCCTGGCACCACCCCAGGACTCCGATGTGTATTACATAAGCCACTGCCTGGACTGCTCAGATGGCTCCCCAAGGGTCTCTCTGCTTCGCTGCTCATCCCCTCACCCCACTCAATTTCACACAGTAGAGGTCATACCCCTCCCCCGCCCAAAGCCCTCTACTAGCTCTTACCGCACCTAAAATGAAGTTCAAAGTCCTTCCATGGCTCACAGGGCCCACCAGATCTGACTCCACCCCACTTCTCCCACCTCATCTCCTCTCTCCCCCTCACTCATGGCCTTATTTTATTTTATTTTATTTTTTGAGGCAGAGTCTTGCTCTGTTACCCAGGCT